AACGTAAGGTCAGGATAAGATACATATATGGACATAGTTGGATCAGATAAGGAAAATTTGCTTGTTCCATGAAACGGGATTGTATGTGTGAATTACATTGAAGTTATTTTTATAGACACGGGGCTAGGGAAATACCTCCAGGTATATAGAAACTAGCGTCATCATTTAGTGCCTATCGTTATTATTTGGTATTCTACTCTAGACTGCATGGTTGGCGCAGTGGCTGGGCAACTGTCTGCGGCGAACAGTGTGGTTCGATTCCCGCACGGAAAAACTCTTTGTGTGATCCACAAATTGTTGTTCCGGTTTTGGGTATGATTTGAATGTGAATTTGTATGTTTGTAAATGCACCCACAACACAGGAGAAAATCGTAGTGTGGGGCAACGTTTTTTTTCATGAAGATGTACCTTGCACAAGCCTCAGAAATGAGCAACTCTAGGAGACGGAGGAGCAATTAGTCAAAAAACACACCTACTGCATTTTTTTTGTAATAGGTCGGCAAGTTATGAGTGCGTTTTCTCCCATACTTAAATGTATTATTTGTAACCAAAGATTTTCACTCATAAAAAAAAAACTAAAAAAAATGTGTCACTTTAACGTTCGCTTTCTGGTTAAAATCAATCAGATACATAATACGTCCTTGAAACACGTAACATTGTACCCATACTAGTTTACTGCAAAAAATAGAGGTAGATCTTTTGCTGTCCACATCGCCGCCATAAAAATACCACTCAATTGTTTAGTGTGGTCACCGACAGGCGAGTTTTACATCGCATACTGCATCTAACCACGAAGGTCTAAACTGGTGATAAAGAAGAAGCAATTGAATCTGTTTTTATAGCCGTTTAAAGTTTAGTTTTAGTGTGATAGCAAATTGGATGCAGGCTCAACAGTTAACGAACTACCGATGTGTGATTTAAGTTGCGGTGTCTTGTGTGAAACAGGTGTTCAAATCATTTTCGCTGTGCCGTAAAAAATGTAGTAATGAAGACTAAGGAAGGATAAGCATTGTTTCTATAGTAACCTAGACGTCATTTCCGCGGCCTCAGCCTAGAGCAGGCGAAGGAACGGAGGCGTTTTTAGTCAGTCAAAGTCTGACACTCCCTCCCACCCCACACTGGGCGGGAGAAGTTATTTGATGATTTCCCCTTACAAAAAAAAAAGGCTTTTGATTTTCACCAGTTTGTATTACAAAATCTGAGATACTACTAAGAATTTTCGTCAACTTATATAAAAGATACCAGACAACAGCCAGTAACTCAATAGGAGACTGCTTACGGAAGCTTCAAGCTAGGGCTTACTGGAAAGAACTGCAACCATGGTCTTAGGAAATATGTTATAGGAAGCCAAATTCTACTTTATAACACAGACGCAAAAGATTATGCTAATAACAAAAAAAAACTTGTCCAATACAGGAGTTGAACAAAAGACTCCTAGCAACAGACAGCATAATATGTAAAATGTTGCCTTCAATTCTAATAACATAAAAAACTATGCCTCACACTAATGAAACTTCAAGATATTTTATTCACAAAATAATATATTAAGTATTTGAATTAAATTTAACATGAAGAAACTGCACAGACTAAATAAAAAGCTAATTAAATATTCACAACTGAATTAGTCAGTGACTGACAATAACAATATGATTTAATATTGTATATTTACTAGACAAGTATTTAAAGTCATCAGTTATCTATCCTAATACTATATAGAGGAAAGAGTTGTTTTAAACTAACTTAAGTTTGAATCAATTATTTAAGTGTGGGAGAGCCAAGCTTCGGCACAATTGGGTCGGCTCGACCGGAGTGATACCACGCCCTCACAGAATACCGGCGTGAAACAATTACAGCGTTGTGTTTCGCTGTGTAAGTGAGGTTACCGAAGGCCCAATCCCTCCCCTTCCCCAATCCCTTTCCGATCCTTTTATCCGCAACCCCTATCCTCAAAATGCCGGCAACACACTCGTAACTCCTTTGGTGTTGCGGGTGTCCATGGGCGGCGCCACTTACTTACTATCAGGTAATTCGTCTGCTCATTTGCTGACTTATACCATAAAAAAAATAAAAAATCAAATAGGCTCTGAAACTACTTGACCAATCCGAAAACTGAGCAGCTACCTCTAGTGAACATAAGCTATAAAATATGCCTAAAGTACGCACTACCAAGCCAAAAGCGTGGTAGTGCAGAGAAAGCCAGTACATACATACAAATCAAAATTAATACTTATGTTACACAAGTATTATTAAAATACTTGCTATTCAAAACAAAAGATAAAATTGTAGCTGAAGCGTGTGAAAGGATCTGGTTTACAGTTTGATTATCTGATTCATGAATGATGATGATCACCTAAATCAAAGTATAATAAGAATATAATTTCAATTAAGTAATTGGACCTCTTTAGTAGAAGCTTGGTGCAAGAGTTGGTTGAATAATAAAATAACAAGTAATTTGGTTTATTCCTAGAAATTCAAAAAGAGTTTTTTTTTTATTGAGTACCAGGTATCAAGTAAATTCTAATTCTTTATCCAAAGTATTTAAAATCATAGTTATTTAAACTACTTTTGGATTAAGTAATAAAACTAATGACCACTATTAATATGATGTCCAATGATCAGATAAGTATTGCATAGTAATAATTACTTGAACTCAATCTTTCAATAAATCTTATATGAAAAATCAAAATGTCTATTTTTTTTAATAAGGTAAGATTTAAGTATAGTATGCTGTTTGGATTTATTTTACGACAAGTGAATTATTTGAATTGCCTGTTTTCTCCAATCTTGTAAATGAATATAATTCAAACATTACACCGGTACAATAGTTGAATTACGGATGTATATTTTGTCTTTACCACGTGTCAGAAATGTTATTAAAAAGTTTAATAAAAACAGGTCAAGTTTTCTGCTGATAATGTCAACAAATAAAAATTTATTAGACAATTACAAAAACAAATATAGAGTGAAAAGTACTGAGATTTCCATGAAAAATAATAACTAGAAGATTCTAACTGTATCTGTAAAATGTTTTAAACGTTTAGGTACTGCAATTAAAAATCGTCATGAACAATAACAAAACATTGGCATAACCTCAAAAATAAAAAGAATTCGAAACTGAGAAACTTACCGAACATAATGATGTCAACTTATAAATTTAGGAACTCAATAATTTTATATGTAGTCCTCAAAACATGCAAACTATAAAAAATATACCAAAACCAAAAGAATATGATTTTCGAAATAATCTTGACATTGACACATCACAAAATCACAATAAACAAAAGTGACAGTTTACACAACAGCCATATTTTATGATACGCTGTCTCACTCTTTTGGTAAAAATACGAGTTAGAGTAAAAGAGAAAGGACCAGAAACCGTTCATAGACAATAGTTTGCATTTTAGAACAGTGTTGTTCCTATAAATACGTCAGGTATATATTATAACAGTTTAACAGGGTATTTAAATTTCAACAATATCCGTCCCTGATATGCAGATATTCAAATTGTTTGCCAGTATTAAATTGTCGTGTTGCTCTAAAAACTTTATTCACAATGAATTCCTTATAAACACAGATGATTAATGGCCGGTTCCTATAATTGAGAAACGATCCGTTTTAGTTACGAATAGTAGTTTTATATACGACTCGTAAGCTAAAACCGTTCCTATAACAAACGTCTCGTCGTGCAACTTACTGACGGTTTGCAACTAACGGATGTCGGTAAGCGAATTGTATGGAGATCTATGGTGTCTGTGGTGTTCCTATAAATATTTTAACCGTCAGTAGACGGTCAAGATAACTATTCGTAATGTCATTTGGTCGTAATGCATATACAACGACGATTCGTTAAATATAGGAACCGGGCATTAATCGGTTATACCTATTTAACTGGGTACAATTGTCAGATGTTGTATCAAAATTAAAGTAAATGACAGAACACTTGTAAAACGGGTAAAAATAGCAATAGAATACGAGATAAGAAAGTAATATTATTTTACAAGCAAGTCCATCCTAGAAGCGCATTAAATAAAACATGAGTTTGATATTACGCCAACATAAAATGTAACAAAATGTAAATATCTGTTTTTGTGTTATTCATATCTAAGATTCGTTCTAAACAAAATAGCTAGTTCCTTTAAAAATTTTAAAGCAAAAAATAAAATTGAAACATTTTGCTAATTACTTTAAATTTGTGTAAAATTAATGAATAACTTCTGAAATTCATATAAATAGAAGTCGAATCACCCAATTGTGCTGTGTGTGGTGTTGTAGAGGACGTTCAACACATTTTGTATGAGTGTCGTCGTATTGAGTCTCAGAGATATCAGGATTTTAGTTTTAACAGATATAATAGGTATTGGTTTTTTATCATAGTGTGCTAGCGTCACCATTATCATCTGAAGCCAAAAAATTGTATCGTCAAATTATTTTATGTTTAAAGTTAAGAGCTAGCTAAACCTATAAATGGTTTAATAAGTAGATAAGTAAGCACTGAATTTTGTACACAATAATAGGGCTGAAATCTTCTGTATGGAAAAAAATCCTTTTAATAAAATAAAGATTTAAAAAAATATAAATATAATTGATGTAAAATAAAATAAAACAATAATTTTACTTTCTGTTTGGAAAAAAGTTTAATGCTTGAAAATGATGTGAACAAATTAATTCTCATTGATGCTGAAATTGGCTTGCCTATTCTTAAAGCAGTCTTCCATTTTCTCTTCATAATTTTGTCTTATGGGAATAAATGAAAACTTATCGTATCTCCGTAAGTACTACATTGAGGAACGCAACAATATTTCGTATATAATTGTGATCTATCTGAACAATCTAACATAACTTCAACAAATAAACAAACAGAAGTGTCATTCTTAGACAGTTTCTAAATTTCACCACTAGAGGCGCGCGGATAATCTTTGCATCGCCAATAGTATCTCTATAAAAAAAGAATTATATTTTTTTTCTCTATACATAAAAAAAATATTTTAAAAGAAATTTAAATGGCGGTAAGTCTTGTTTTTTCTCATATACACGTTTAAGGTTGAGAAATACCTCTGTAAACATAGGTAATTAAATTGATTATGCAGTTTTCAGCTTATTATCGTAACAGACGCGCATTCGTATTTATAATAATTATATCCAGGTTAACGCCAACACAAAATGACCAAACAAATTTTTTATAGACAAATAAACAATCAAAACATGCTATATACTATGTACGTATATCATCTATAAACGTAACCTACCTGCTTCCGTCGCCATAATTATTTAGTAGGTTAATAGCTCATACAATATAGAATACAGACAAGCTATTAAAAACTACGGCTAGGCTATAGGTATATGCAAACACAACTATAGCGGACAGATCCATTTTAAACTGAAAGACGACACCCTAACAATTCTTATAAGTAAATATAAATTCCAATTGCTTTCTCACTTCATAAGAAAATGCACTTCTAGTTTTCACTTACCAGGTCGTTGATCGTAACATTTCCGTCACAAATTGATTTTTGTATGTGCAGTAGCACAAAAATAACCTCCCGGGTGTCGCTGCGTACGCGCCGCCAGTAGGAACACCACCGCCGCACGCCCAGCCCGTTCCGCCCTACACCACAATTATACGGCTTATTACGATAACCAAATCCTGTACTACCTGATGTGTTTATAGTGTTATTACTAAGTGATTATGAAAATTATGATGAAAAGTCGAGAGCACGTGAAATTTGAGTGGTACAAGTGATTGGATTTTGTCCAAGTGTATTGTGTGTCTTATATGAACAAGGGCGCTTGCCCTTTGAATTTTGGTAATTTCCATTTCTTTATAATAGTACGAATATCGCCTTCAAACTTGTGTATCCTATTCGTAGAATGAGTTGAAATATTTTCTTTATTAGGTCGTAAAATTCATCTCCAATAATCGATCATCAACGTCATGTCGTATGAATTAAATACCAAATCATTGAGGTATAGCAAGGTTAAATGAGTTATTTTTATTCGTCAATAATACATAAGACAGCCAATAGATTTGAGATACATACTTACCTATCAATTCTCACGCACATTATTATGAAAATAGTGTCAGAAAATTGCTTTTACATGGCACATTAAACTTACAACTGAATAATAGGGAAGTTCTAATATTTGAATCGTTAGGTACTCCAGGTGATTCTAGAAAGTTAATGTTATTTATAAATGAAATCTTTAAATAGTCTGTAACAGAAGTATTTACAAGTATTGAAATTATCATAACATGCGAGTATTTAAAAGACCAACTCTACATTTACGTCAACTCTACGTTTCGTCTACTCTACATTTACAAAAAAAAATCCATCTCCATTTAAATAGTAAAAAACCACGGTTTTCTTTGTCGTCAATGAGGGAATGAATGTCGTCAAGACAGAACATCAATTTTATTGTTGTATACTGAAAGGTTTATAAATATAAATATTATACAGAATGCAGGCTGTTGATAGCTGTTGATGATTGTATTCTGCCAAAATACACACGCCTACGTGATTCAATAATCGGAATACCTATTAGTTTGATGTTATTAGTATTAGGCACACATATCCGGTTGTTAATAAGCTTGCACTGCTTACGTATTTAAATCTTAATATAGACAAGTCTTGAACTGCATTAATGCATTACTGAAATACCATTTCAACTTGTACGTCAATGGCAAATGCATGTGAACTGTTTTATTAACCGTACTTACATTACCTATCAAACTATCATTTATGTTCTATGAGCCATGTACCTATGTCAAATTGTGTTGTATCTAATGTAGTCGTATGTTAATTGCCATTTTAAATGCATATACTGCCAGTAATGCAGTTGCATGTCACTTTATGTCGCATTAGTTTGAAATTTACCTACAAAATTCTTCTATAACTAAAATAACTTCTTATTATTCTTAACTTCTTATTAACAGTTTTAGGTACGCTTTATCCCAATATTTCGTAACTTTGTGTTTAAATCCTAATCATTTGTTACTATACGTATAAATTTACTTATATTTGACAACTGTAGTCGTGTAGATCTTACAGATAATGCCTAATGATTATTGCCAACATAAAAACACGAAATGTTTTTAGGCTGGTAAACATCATTAGAAACTGTTCTTTTTAAAGTTTTCTTTATTTGTCTACCTTAGCTTTATAGTGGACGTTGAGATAGGTATTGAGTAAGCATATTGTATGTACGCCAATAATCTCGTTTTTTTTGTGAGGGGAAAATCATCAAATGACTTCTCCCGCCCAGGGCCGGGCGGGAGGGAGAGTCAGACTGCTGACTAAAAACCCCCCTGTTCCACGCCAATAATATCGTCACGTAGTCATTTTGAACGAGAAACATAAGTATATAAAGATAATAAATGCCTGTAGAGTACATTTCTCAGCCCATGAATTCCTATTTATTTAAGTGCAGATATGTAAATAAGAAAATTTAACTTGGTTGGCATCGAAGATAATTTTAATATTTTTTTTACGAAGAAATCACGGTCTTTATAAAGTACCGAATGAAATGTTTTGCCGAGACTAACGGCCCAATTCAATTTTCTCCTGAGTATTGGGTGCTTGACCAGTACACATAGTCTGTACCTACCCCAAAACATTGTAAACAACACATTTTCGGATGCACAAAGAATTAATTAATGCAGAATTAAATTCGCGAAGCATTAACTGACCGATAATCCAGCTATTAAGATACATATAATCATATAACTTAAACATGACTTTAAATCCAATGAGTGATGTGTTACTCAGCAGTTTGTAGAAGAAACCTTATGTATTAAGTGCAGTCTATACTTAAATTAACTGTATTTTTTTTTTCTGAACAAATATGACGTCCCCTATGGTCTATTGGTTTAAATAATTAAGTAAATGTAAACTCTCGTGGCATGTCTTTCTACCTAAAAGTTGTCTAAAAATTGTATCATGAATGTAAAAATGTCAACAATCAAGTATTTACATAAATCGATGTTAGCTAATAATCTAAATTCAATTAATCTTTTTATGGAAGTATTTTAAACGACCTCTTTTATACAAAAAAGACATATCAAGATTGTTTCCCTTTAGTTAACCACCTAAACCTACCTATAGACGATAGACATGACACAAGTATCAAACAAAACCTAGAAATTAGATTCGCGTATATTGTGTATAAAATATTACGGGTCTAACCGTATATGTATGTTAAATTGTATGTATATAAACGAATCGACAACACATGGGAAAATACTAGTGTTGGCTAATTAAAAAGTATAGTACTCAGTACTGACATGACTAAGCATTATTCTAGTTTATAATTAATCAACCTAATATTTATGACAAGCTCAATTTCAACCCTGATGGGTATTAGTCTAAGCAGACACATAGTAAAATTGCCTAAAAACCTAAGTCACATGGCTTGGTTCAAAATAATACCTACTCAATTCAAACACGCAATACAACGAAAGAACTTCACAAATACTCATACATGATAAGTATTTAAGTACGTACCTATATCAAATTGATTCGAGAACAATACTGATATATTAAAGAGTACACCCTCGAAAACCATTTGGAATGTTCCGAAACTTCTGTTTTGTATCACGAAACATATACAAACCGTCTGTTCATACTATGTGATTAATAGCAGCTGGATAACTATTATGTGGATATTTTATTACTCGACCTAGTACCAATAAACAGCGATTTGTTACCCTATCATTTGAACAATAGATTACAAACTTAACAAACACTATGCGTAGGAGCATTGATCGTCGCACGTTTTGCAAGAATGGTCTGTTTGATGATTTAGTTTAGACAAAGCTGGATTCCTGTTATATAATAATATAATATAACAGGAATCCATATATAAATTTTATGTGATAAGGACATTTTTATGTTCAAATTGTATAAAATTACATCTGAAAGTTGCAAAATTTAATATCCAAATCATCATTATCGTCATAGATTTTATTATATTAAATCCAGGAAAAAACATAATTAAAAACATTTTCATTACATCATTAAATATCTGGTATGAGATATGAGATGTTGGGTGACGTCACCGTGTGACGTTGGTGCTCCGTCTGGATCTGGAGTAGACATCAGGTCCTGGCGCTTATCCAAGAGCATTCACTCAACGACTTCACGAGAAATTGGGACGACTTGAAACGCCCATTCGACCCACCGGCAACAGCCATACCTAAATATTTAAATACCTTATAAAACTAGGCTTACAAATATGTTGAAATGTTTATTGCACTTTCCAGATTATAAAAGAATGAGTGGCTTGTGGCTTCCAAGATGAATAATGGTTCGAGAAGGGCCCTAACCGGCTCTATTCACAAAATCAGAGAGTTCGAGTTGGAAAAAGTATGATTTATTTCTTTTATGCGTACGTTTTATTACGATCGTTAAAACTTCAGCACTTTTTCTCAACTTTATTTTGTTTATTTATAGGTGAGTCTAGTAGAAGAATTTGACATTCTACAAATAGTTGGAGAAGGATGGTTTGGAAAAATTTTACTTGTGGAACACAGAGCTTCAGATACTGAGATTGTCCTAAAAGCCTTACCGAAGCCCTACGTATCTATTAGAGATTTCTACAGAGAGTTTCACTATAGTTTACATTTAAGCGCCCATAGAAATATTGTAACTACATTCGATGTCGCTTTCGAGACGGCAGGATTCTATGTATTTTGCCAAGAATATGCGCCTTTGGGTAAGATAAATTAATAATGAATTTAATTATGATGTTGACTATGTTAAAATATTCATAATTTATCTCGGAAATCAAATTTTAAACGCTGAGTAATCCAGGCTCGGTTTACTCCGGTCCACACACACTCGAAGTTGGATTGTAGCCAAAACACAGCATGATTTGAATGAATATTTAAACTAGCACATTTCCAGTGCCAACCCTCATTAATGTCAATGCGGTATTGAATGCTAGCGCACTGTATTTTTGTATAAACCCATTGTCTCAGAAAATAATATTAAATGTACATAAACATTTCATTTCTCGTGAAAATGTTTTGTAATCAAATATAATGTGATATATGATTTGTTTCTCAGGTGACCTTACATCAAACATGCTCGATACTGGAATAGGTGAAATTCATACGAAAAGGGTAGCAAAGCAATTGTCTGCTGCATTAGAGCATCTTCATCAAAGGGACCTAGTACACCGAGATGTAAAACTTGATAACATCCTTATATTTAAATCAGATTTTTCAAGAATAAAACTCTGTGACTTTGGTGAAACGAGAAAAGTTCAATCAGTTGTGAGAAGACGAAACGAATGGTTACCTTATTCACCTCCTGAAGTACTAAAATTGTCCATGGACAGTAGTTACAAGTGAGCGATAAGCATTTTTTTTATTTTGTTTGTCTATATTTTGATAATATTTATTTTCTTATAATGCCCATAATTAATGATTCTATGTTTATTGTATTGATAGTCCTTTTATTTGAGAAACCTATCTTAAAAGGTTCAGCTGTCAGTAAAAAACATGAGGCTTGAATAATCGAGATGAAGAGCTAGTCATACAATAATAAACAAACTTAATTCATTTAGGTTGTCAACAACATGGAAACGAATCTTTGTTTACTTTCATTAAAAATGCGTCGATCCTAATAAAACATGTTTATTTGTTCATTTTCAGAGCTTTAATTACCCATGATATTTGGCAATTCGGCGTCGTTATTTTCATTTGCCTCACTGGATGTTTGCCTTGGCAAAAAGCTGCTTTTGATGACCCTCGATACACCAGGTAATATATTTAATAACATCCATAAAGCTCGCTTCGTTTAGAACTATGAGTAACGCAATGAAAATATGTTTTATATTGCTACAAAAAGATCACGTTTAAATTAATGAAATATTCTCATTGCAGCTATTACAATTGGTACAGCAGTGCAAACCCATTGAAGAGACCGCCAAAATTATGGAAAATGGTTTCATCGAGGGCACAAAAAATGTTTAAAAAATTTGTCGAGCCAAGAGAAGAAAAAAGGGCAAGCAATTTCTTGGAACTTTCTCGCTATTTAGATGATCGATGGCTTGGCAAAGGCTATACTGATAGAGTAGGTGAGTCTCCGATTGCAATAAATAAAATAATTAAAAGGTACACCTTATACTGTGGCTACTTTAAAATAACATAAAATATTGCTTTCGTTTTAGCTGGCGAGGACATAGATGAACTCTGTCCGTCGATGTACAGCTTTCACAGTGACCCAAATGAGAAAAACATATTACTGAAACATTTTAGGGATAATGGGATCGAAACCACTGTTGACCGCCAAGCAAAGAAACAAAGAATTCGTGAATGGATTCAAAATAGTGTTATTGAAGAAGTTGACGAGGAGGTTTGTATTTGAATATAAATTACAAAATTACAACTTAATAATAAAAAGAGAGACTAAACTTTTTGCATTTTTTGCAGGAGGAACACCTCGAAGTTGCGTTTGAAGATAGTGATGAAGAATTAGAACATAGACCGAGAAATCATCCAATTGATGAAAGTCATAGAGTTACTTTACGCTATGATACAGAAAAACATATTAATCCTAGAACTGGCGAAGTTATTGACGGAGTCAAGCACGTGCCAGAAAGAAATCCTTTATCTTATGATGTACAGAACATAGAAGCAGTTGCACCAGCAAATGTTCTTAGAAGATATGGAATGAAAGAAGACGGTTCGTCCCATAGTTCGACTAAGGATAGTGCTTATGGATCTATGGAAGTTAAAGTAAATAAACCAGTAAAATCATCCCATAAAACTGAAAATAAACAAGTCCCATCAATAGATAGTGTTCAAAATAATTCACCGAGTAGATCTTTAAGCGCCACATCAATAAACCAAAATAGGTCACCATTGACGTCACACGCCCAGAGATTTCAAAGAAGCGAAGAAGTGTATTCAAAAGAATTGGAAAGTTTGAAAGGAAGCACATCGACACTTCATTCTTTAGCAAATTCGTCTAGGTCTAACAGTCTCCAAGTTGCTCGAAATGATTCATTTGATGCGCCATCTGTTACGAGTACACAAACACCACCAAAAACAGAAAGTCCGAGCACGCAGAGACCTCATAACCCTGTCGTTACACAAAATGGTTTCAGTCCTGGTACAAAGAATGCTCAGCCACCTAACAGAGCCTATGTTTCTATGAAAAGTACAGTTTATGACAGCAAAAGTACTCGTAACGATAATAATGTAGCGGAAAACAATCTGCACAAAAACCAAACTCCTGATAGTCCTTACACTTCAATGATGAACATAGTACAGGGCCAAATGAAAATCAACCCTCATGCAACTGAAACGAACAGAAACACTATAAACGTTTCAGTAGCACAAGTAAACCGTAAAAAATAAATTGCTCAAATAATGTTATGAATCAAAAACACGATTCAAGTATCGTGTTCTTGAAATATATTGTCTGATGTTACAAACTTTTTTAGTTGCTAAGTGTACGTTGCCTTAAGGCTCGTCAAAGTAACTTGAAACTAAAATGACAGTAATTAAGCTTCGAAGCTTTGACATGTGGTTCGATCAATAGTTCCAGTATACCTGGTGTGCATAAATATTGTCAGGGAGATTTTTTCTTCATAATTAATCCCAACGTCTATCTTTTCATTTACCACCTTTTATAGTATTTCCATGTGCATGCTTCGCATACTCCTACAGTTATTTTTACTTCTTTCTGTCTTATTAAACTAATTCTTTTTCTTTTTCCTCTTCTGCTGCTCGTGCCCGCTTCTTCCTGCAACCACCCTAATTCTATATAACAAGAATCTACCAACATCATTATACGCTCCAGGTGTACCTGACTACAGTCATATGGCCGCTTCAGTTGAAACACTGAGCTATTTTGGAACCCACAGCGAATTTAATGACTTGACGTAACTATCGTCGGATACTGTAATATTCTCTTTAGACGAAAATTAGGTACAAAACTGCAACAGTTAAGATGAAATTATTCGTAAATGCCTATACAGGCTGTGATTATTTGACTATAGGTCAAAGGCTTACAAAACTGATTTAATAATGAAATATATTATACTTAATTTATCATTTTAATAGTTTCTTTTTTTGTATAATGTTATTAAGTAATTATATTTAAGGTGACCTACAGTTTGAAATTAGAATAGGATAAAGACAAGTAATTATTAGTTTTTATTGTAATTATAATTTTTCCAACATGTACAACTGAAAACTGAAATACATTTATTATTTTTAAACCATGGTTTTATGTTTTTATTCATGTTATTAACCTATTTTATTTGAAAATAACCTTGAAAAGTATCTTACTTAGGTCTACTAGGGATTTATTTTTCTAATTCAAAACTTTTCTTTCCGAAATTGAATTATTAAAAAAATAACACTTATAATAACAGGTATTATTACAAAAGTTAGATTGGCCAACTGTACGTCACTATCAGCTGATAGTTTTGTCTATGAAAATAAATATAGATTATAAATAATTTAATTCCATTTGTACAACATTTTTTTCAAATCGCTGCTATCTTTTATTCTTAATTATCTATTGATCATAATTTTAAATATAAAAAATAATACATACCGGATTTTATAATAATATGACATGGATGTTTATTGATACCAGAGTTAAATTTTTTAAATAATTTTAATTAAAAATAACATTCGGAATATCGATTTTTTTATTTTATAATAAAAAAAAATATAACGTACGTGCCTACTTTGTAACCACACGTATAGACTATCAGTATAAAGGTCGCTTTTTCTGTCACTATATCCCTATGTATGCATAAATCTTTAAAAAGTATGCAACGGATTTTGATGCTGTTTTTTAAATTGATTGAAAGGGAAGTTTTATGTGTACAATAATATCTATTTAAGTGGATACATTTGACACTAAATGCATTGCAACTTTGCGAAGCCGGGTAACTCTACAATATAATAATAATAATATACTGGTTCAAGTCTCAACTGGAGGGCAACACTGGATTCACGGCCATTGGCTTGAATTAAACGAACAGCTGTCAATTTTGAAGTTTTCAAGTTTCCGTGTTTCAATACCGCCGCGCGCAGATTACTATTGAAGTTTATAATGAAAATTCGTAAACTATTAAAACGTAATTACATCTAGGGTATTTAGGGTAATATTTTATTGCTAAATTATTGCGACGCATTCACAAAACTAACATCGTAACATTAAAAACGTATCAATAATATGATTCATAACCTCTCAACAATTTTCGGTTAGAAGTCAAAATTTCTCAATAATAATCAAGTAAAATGCAAAAGCTACAAGATAGTGTGTTTTCTATAGTTAAGACAACAAATTTGTCGCCTGCAGTGTTCAGTTTTCTGCAACCAACGGAGGATTTCTCAGGTATGTTTGTTTATGGTGACTTCATAAGTATATATAGCCGAATATAGAGCTATGCGAGTGTTGAGTGGGTGACGATCGTATATATGTTTACGATAATTACGTTCATTTACAGATAAGACACCTCTTGGCGGGATTTTGAAAGACACCAAGCATGGGTGGCTGGCTTTGGGACCAAAATTCTGTGTGGTTGATCTTAGAACCGGGTTGAAAGTAGCAGCCCGAACATTCGGTGCACCACAAAGGTTGGTATGAAGTCATACTCTTTTCAAGAACACCTATATGCTAAATAGATTAGGTTTAGTATTTTTTGATGTAGTTTACTCTTCTATAACTGTCTAAGCTATTATTTTTGTGGACCAATGTAAAAGTACTTTTTATTATTCTTATCCTTACCAATGAAAAAAACTCCATTACGCAAACAATGTAAATTAAAAAAGATTCAGTCAAAATGTTTATTTCAATTACTCCAATATAAATCACTTCATATACTTATAAGTTTCAGTCTACAGTGTAAATAGTTAATTATGTATAATATTACAAACAAAGTAACAAGATTATGAATGTCTTATTTCTTTCTATTCTTATTCCAGTAATGCCAACACATTTGTAACAAGTGTAGTGGAGCTGCCCAGGCCATTGACTGCAAATTCCATACAACTTATTATCAGCTTGCAATGTGATGAAGCTGGCATGATCTGTGTCCTGCATGTAAACGGGTCACAGATACTTCGTTGTGTACAAACTGAGGTGGTTGTCACAGAGTTAGCAGTATGGGATAGAATACCTGATGGACCACTCGCATGTTTTGATGGAGTGGTCATGGCTGGAACGAAGAGTGGAGAGATATTTGCTTTTGATTTGCATAGAGCTGGTTTGATGCAAGGTATGTTCTTTACCAAAAACAAAAAAAACAATATTCTAAATTTTGTATTCATGTGCACATATTGCTATAGATATTATTAACATTTTTTAAAATCATAATATTTATGCTTGTTCCAGCATTGAAAGACATCTCCCAAGGTTATGAAAACTTAGTTCTGAATGATATGAATCCAGCCAACTTGAGCTTCTTACAGTTCAGTGCTCTTAACCGCATTAGAGAACAAAGAGAACTGGCATTAGAAAATTGTGAACACTTAGCTATCTTACTGAATGAAAACTCCTTAGTAGATGGCCAGTACATATTCCGCAACCCTGATGGTACAGTACGGATGAAGGCAAAGAGAGACCATATTCGCGTGACTGTACTTCAATACATTCCACAACTGGGCAGTTTGGCAGTCGGCTATAACTTCGGAGCATTCCAGATCTGGAACATTATGACTTTAGATTTGGAATTCACTTCGCAAGTCAATGTGGAATGCTTGCCGGTTACACACTTTGGATTTCAGGTATTGCATTTCTTTACTTTGTCGACTATTATCATATATACCTACAACATAAAGTTTTTTTGGTAGAAGCATTAAGTTCAAGTCAATTAAAATTTAACATTTGTCAGACACTGGCTGCTTATATTTAAAGTGAATGACTGCACAGTTGATGCAATATGGCTGATCAACTGGCTGCTGAACAACGTGTCGTGGGTCCGATTCCAGCACAGAACAACACTGTCTGCTCCACAAATTATTGTTATGGGTTCTGGGTGGCCTGTGTATGTTTTTAAACAAACCCACGACACAGGAGAAAATCCTAGAGTAAACATTAAATATTATTAGCAATTATTTGTATATGTATATTTTATAAAGAAATATTTCTTCTTTGACTTCCAAATAAAAATATTTTTTACTCTTACAGGAGCCTTGTGATGACCCTCGAGCGTTTTGCTACCTGTGGGTGGTGTTCTCAGTGATAGACAGGTTCGAAGAGGAAGAGTTTCCACTGGCTGTGATGTACTCCCTCACTTACCAGGGCAAAAGGATGTTGTCTGATACTAAATGTCTTTATCAGGTAACTATGTTGTATAGCATGTCTGTTTCAAGTCGGATTCGGATCAAGCGCAATAAGCGACCGCGACCGCGTGCCTGGTAAAAGTCTGACACTCTCTCTCTCTCTCATAATCCATTTGATGATTTTACACCTAAAAAAAAACTTTATCAAACAAAAATGATCAATGCAACCATCAATGCGACGAGTGTCACACTAACTAAGTACCATAAACCGTATTAATGATACAAAACTTATCAATCTCACAAGGAATTAAATAATATTCAAATGTTTTTCAATCTTAATACAATTTGCATGATACAAGAAACTCTGTTTATTTACAATCTGAATTTGCAAAAGTTGTAGCAGGCCATATTGTTTGACAACTATAAAAGGACAGCAACTTACAAATAGATGCCTTTTATGCCAAAAAAATTGAAAATACTTCTGTAAATTTTGTTCTAGGAATTTTCTACAGCCACAATAAGATTTCAACTAGAGTTGAGTACAGTTGACGAGTCTGCTCTACTTGGCGGAAAGTGTGTTTCTTGTCATACATACTCTGTCAACTCTACACTAGCAGCTGAAGGCGAAGAGAGTGAGTATAATTTAAAATCTAAATATAACTTTACTCAGCAATAGATTATATTGTTTAGAATAACATCAAAACAACATGAATATGGAATAACAGATACTTTTTTTTTCATAAAAAAAAACAAGGGCAGGGCTTGTGGAATGTACAAAGTCTAAGTCAAAATCATTTATTCCAACTAAACCATAAATAGGTACTTTTGAAACATCAAGATAGAATAGTAGTCTGTCAGTCTGTTAGTCAGTGAAGCTAGGTGGTTGTTCCAAATTGTAGAACATAATTTTATTAAGTAGGTACATAATTATACTTCAACATAAAACTTCTGAACAATAATGTTGAAATTACTAAGAAGAACCTTATTGTTGGTAAATCCACAAACACCCATACACAACAGGACTTTTTATAATTATTATACCATTGTTTCTTACTTTCAGGTATGTTGAACATTTGTCAAGTTGTCTGGGAGTGTTGGGGCGAGAATGCCAACTCATCAACCCAGTATGGAATGCTCCTGTTTGATTTAGACCAGTGGTACAAAGATCAAATGCCGGGTAATTTCCATTTTTATTATAAGCCAATTAAAAATATTGTGATTTGTCTAATTTAGACCTTATGCTAGTGTTTATAGTCTTTACATTGTGTTTCCGTAATTGATTATCAATTGTACATAAGAGTAAGGAATGTCAATTCTACAAAATTATTCTTACTAGCTACAATCGCGCGGTTTCACCCGCTGTTCGGATCAATTTGATCGTAGCGTGATGTTTTATAGCCTACTAGAGGCCCGCCCCCGCTTCGCACGGGTCCAACTATCTGGCTATCAAAGGGTCACTTTTCCTAATCTTCCCCTTTACTTACCTAATATTTTATTTGATAAGAACCTTCTCCTGACAATAACAAACAAGAAAAAAAGAATTAGCAAAATTTGTCCAGGCGTTGTGGAGTTATGCGCTTACCAACACATTTTTATATATACGATAGCACTCAGGAATATTGTAGCTATCTATCAGTGAAAGAATTTTGGCAATCCGATCAGCGGTTCTAAAGATTACCCCCTACATACAAACTTACAAATTAACGAAAGTACATATCAGACAGTTTCATTTGTATAATGCGAAACCCTAGTCGGTAACGCACTCGTTACTTCTCTAGTGTAACGGATGTTCATAGGAGATGCCGTACTGTCTCATAAAAACAGTGTTATACTTATATGTTAGTGGTTAGTAGTTCAAACCTTCTCCGTGTGAGAAGAGACCTTTGCTTAGCAGTAGGCACTAATGTTTGATGTAAATGGAAAATGGACACTTGTGTATTCTAGGAAAGATCTTCTGACAACATTATTTGACAATTTTCGTCTAACCCTAATACTCATGCATTTTGTCTCCAGCAACCTGGCGCTTGGAAAGCAACGCCTTTATGAGCGTGACTTGGTGTTGTGAGCTATCCGCGGGAGACTGTGTGACGCTGGATGTGAGGCTAGACCCGGCCTCTGTGGCTGTGTACTCGCACGCGACCAGGCTTGAAGAACACTTTTATCCGAATTCTTTGCAGTACAGTAAGTATTTCTTATGATAGATAAAAGAAAAGATTAATTAATGAATAATCTAGGCAATGTATTGGGGAATGTTGTAAAATTGTACCACTTTTTGTGGGATAGGAAAGTCATTAAATGACTTCCCTCGCCCTGGGTGCGGTGACAAAGAGTGTAGACTCATACTGACTAAAAACCACCTGGTTCCTTCCTCTGCTCTGGATAGGGGCTGCGGTATCTCATTGCGCTTGCACGCCATTCTGAACAAACACAATTGAATCCGAATTTCACGTTTGAAAGAAGTGTAAACGAAGTTAGAAGTGTGCACCAACTAATAAGTCTCCAGAAGAATCACAACAGGACTATTTTAAAGAGTTTTTTAAATGTGACTTTCAAAATGCCTTTATAACTTTCCTCATATGTAACACTGGTGCCAAGAATGGGTTCACCCAATCTATCAATCTTTCTAAAAATAAAATTGAAAATCAATATTCATATTGATATGCATTTTTTTGTTTACGTAATTTTTTGCCTTATTCCAGACTGTATCTGCCTAAACACTTCGGAGGCCTGTGTCCTAGGCACAGTCGGTATACAGCGACAGATCATTGCGTCCATAGACGAGGTGGGGCCCACCGCGCTGCTCAACCCGACGCGTCTCTACAACGCATGCGTCACTGCGGGACTAACGCCCCTGTACGTTAATACGTATTCCAGCAATATTAGTTTGGTAAGTAATTATACCTATTATATGTTTGTAAGACTTGCATATCCATACATGTACATAGTTATTTATTTGTGATGACGTAATAATGTTTTCACATAATACTAGTTTTAAAAGCGGAAAACTTTTCTTGTAGCTAATTGAAAAGAACCAGACATATCGCTAGTTTCTAACAAAAAAATATTTAGGTGAAAACAAACTGTTACATTAGTCTGTTCCTTTCCATTTCACATTACTTTGTCTTGTAAAGTTGCTCTTTATATTCTATTTTGCTTATTGTATAGTCTTGTGGCGACTAGTCCCCCAGGCATTATCATTCTGGTTGTTGGCTTTCCGAATGTTAGGTATTTTAGGTTCCCTAAAGGCTTATTTAAATAAATTTAGATTTCCATTCAAATCCTCACAGCTAGTAGCATACTAAATTCACTTATAAATCTTCCTGATTCTATAGCTTTATGATCTTCTTTTGCTTGTACAGGAGGAGCAACGCAGATATCTACTATCAGTTTGCCTAGAAGCTCGTCTCTCTCGTCTCCTCAAGCGTTGTGCCCACGACTGGGCTACCGGTACCCACGCTGGGGCAGGATGTACGCTACCGTTCCTGGTTGAATGGAGTTGGAAAAGAGCTATAGAGTTAAAGGAGAATGCCAAAGAACTGACTGCTCCTTTGTTCTCGTCTTCTGCATTGCCAGATAGGTAAGAAGACGGTGTATTATGTTAATGGATTGGCTAAGCGACACATGAGAAGTTGGTAGTTTTAGCCCATTTTTGTGATTGTGGGTCCTGATGTGACTTGAAACTATTCGGGTTAACTCGTACAGTTGCATAGGTATGCCAACTGCAACCAAAACTATGAAGAAGATATTAAATAAAAAGACATGTCACATGGAGGAGGTAATAAATATTAATTGAGTAAAAAGTTTATATCCATACTACTCAATTATTTTCAATGAGCTTTATTTTTCAAAATACTTCTGTTATTAAGTAAAGTAAAGTAGTCTTTATTGTGTTGATTGTGTTGGTTACAGGTGTTATACATATTTATAGTGGTATACAGTACAACAATCAGCCCGTTTGGTCATACAATAATCAAGGCCCATTTGGGCTAGTACATTATTAATTAAAACAAAATTACAAGTTCAATAAAAATATATAAAAGTTACACATTACTTATTTTCTAAAAAATCCTTAAGTGCATAATAACATTTTTGTGCCAGCCATTCCTTTATTTTTACTTTAAACAATCTTAATGGAAGTTCTCTGATAGTTTGGGGTATTTTATTATAGATTTTTATACACATAAACATACAATTTCTGTGATACAGAGTGGTTCTGCATTTTGGTACAACAATCTTACTAGGATCTCTTTTGCTGAATGCACTGTTTTCTGAAACTTTTTCGAATAATTGTGGGTGATTTCTTACGAAGAGACCAACTTCAATGATGTATAAGGAAAAAATGGTGAGTATTTTAGTTTTCTGAAATAGGGGTTTGCAAGAATCAAAGGGACCGGCATTACACATTGCTCTTAAACAGCGTTTCTGTGCCAGGAAAACTTCGTTTATTAAGGTTGAGTTGCCCCATAGTAATAAACCATATCGTAAAACTGATCCTATATAACCATGGTAAGCAGCAATTGCTGTGGATTGAGTAGCAGTTTTGTTAAGCTGTCTTAGAACGTAAACAAATTTATTAAGTTTTGAACATACATAATGTATATGAGACTTCCAATTGCAGTAGTTGTCTACAGTTATACCTAAGAATTTAATGTCAGTGGTTGGACTAATCACTGTATTATTATATTGCAAAGTAATTTTTTTGGTCACTGTTTGATAGTTAGCAAATTGTATATATTTAGTTTTAGTTAAGTTAGCCTGTAAGTCATTGTATGTTAGCCATTGTATTACATGTCCTAGGGTTTTATTAACCTCTTCTTCGTGGTGGTTGTTAGCTCGGTCAGTGTTAGGGATAATGATACATATGTCATCTGCGAATAAGATACATTGGTGGGGTGTGTGTGTTATTGTTCTTGATTAATATGTTCAGGTCATTCTAAATTATTTACTGAAAATAAAAATATTATAACGTTTTGTTATTCTAGGAACGTAGTTCGTTGCCTAGAGCACTGCGTACAACAGCTGACGCAGCTGACTGGTCTACTGGACGCCGTGCTCACCAAGTGCTGCAATCTTATTATACCTGATGGTAAGTTGTCTATTTTCGTCGTTATTTGAGGCTTACAATTAACACTATAGCACACGTAATTTGGCAATGGTTTCCTCGTAATCATTATTCCTTACTTATGTATATTGCCGTCAAACTTCTGTAAGACCACACATTATTTATATAAGAATTTATTTCTTTTTTCCAGCACTAAGTGAGATCGAGGAAAAATACAAGGGCATAGGCACGGTGTCTATATACTTCCAAGTAGTGCAATGGTTTCTACGCGTAGGGTTGCTGCCAGAACGACATGACGGATACAATGCGCTGCCTTACCCTGCCCCACAGCTGTACTCACTGTATAACAAAAGGTAATTAATTATGTCATGGAATGTAGTAGGATAATATATTTATGTATGAAAACTTTTTACATTATTTTTATATTCCCTACTTAAATCTTAATTTGCACAAATCAATAATTTAATACCAAAAATGCCTATTGTATAAAATTTATTTTGTATATATAACAATATTAAATTATTGATATATCCTTTTATCTACATTCGCTAAAAATTTGCTTCTTGCGCAAAATTCAAAGAAATAGCGCATAATTTTGCGCAATGATAATAAAAAAATACTTTTTACCTTGGTAATTCGAATCACAATTGAGGAAAAATAAGTGCGCCAACGCAGGTGTTCGCTTGAGGTTTGATGAATTAAGGCACATTATGTTTAGGCAAACTTCAAACAAATTGCACATAATTTTGCGCAATGATAATAAAAAGTAGTTTAAAGTTATTCATACGGGTTTTCTTATCGACTTTAGAATTAAACTCAATAAAATGTTTATTTTGCAGGCGTCTGAAACTGAACCGGTTACAAGACAACGTGCCTACAGATGAGACTGAAGCCAACAAGCCTTGTTCTCTATTGTATATAGACCAGCTGATCGAACAAGAGTTTGGTGGAGAGAGAACACATCAGTAAGTTTTTTTATTTATTGCAAGTACAATTTAAAGAATTGTCATTTTTATTAAACTCTTGGATAATGTGACATCTTGCTTACTACAGCAGAAATAAAAGTTAATGGCTCAATCAAGTAATATAAATTAATATATCTTTGTAAATGTGTATCCAATGGCAATAAAAAACAGCCGGGGTTTATTTTGTGACAGGAAAATTAATAATTGACTTCTCTTGCCCGGGAGTTACAGACTCTTACTGACTAAAACCCTCTGTACCTTCTGCTGCTGCGGGGCACGCGCAATATTGTACCACGGCGTCGACCTGAAACCGGAGAAAGAACAAGAGGATTTAGCCAGGAAGAGTTTGACACTCCCTCTCGCGCTACTCTGGGTGAAAGAAGTAATTTTGAAAATATACCTGCTCAAAAAAGAAAAGGGTAACAAAGAATAATTCCTTGAGTACTCAAGTCAATAAAAGACTTATTAAAAAACCTGAACAAATGAGGTGATATTGATTTATACGTACCTCAATGAAGCTCACATTTCATTGTGTCGCATCGCATTTATTATTTCCCACCCTGTATTATTTCAAATAAAATAATTGACCAGTTATCCAATATTATGTGTCTTTATTAAATTATGTACAGGCTATGGATAAAAGGTGGTAGTCAATGCAACGGCCTGTATCCAGCGCCGTCCCTATACTCGTTGCTCCGTCTCTACCTACTACCTGACATCGCAGTGGAACACAAACATTCCCTAGTGCTATATTTACTTGTGGATTATTCTATGGTGTACGATGAAGTTAGGTAAGTGACCTAATTATACTTATTAAACTGTAAATTATGTATGTAATTTATGTTGGTGGTGGTTTCACAGAAAACCGGCGGGAACAACCAGTGTTGTGCTTCGCCGTATAAGAAATATTGAGTTCCCTAAATTTCCGAAAACTTAATTCTCAAAAGGCCGTCAACGCACTTGTAATTCCTCTATGGAGTTAAGAGGAATCAAGAGTAGTAGTAGTACGTTATTTTCAATAGCAAAATAATAATTATACACATCAGCTCAAACTCTAAACAACCAATGACATGTTCCTTAGTTGGTTTAGGCCCGTGAAGGACATTATAACCGGTCTAGGAACCGAGACTTAAAACAAGAAAAGATAATAATAAATTAGACTGCACGGTTGGTGCGGTGGCTGGGCAACTGGCTGCCGTGCAAGGTGTCGCGGGTTCGATTCCCGCATGGAACAACTCTTTATGTGATCCATAAATTGTTGTTCCGGGCCTGGGTGTCATAATGTGTGTGTGAAATTATATGTTTGTAACCGTTTGTGTCGTGGGTGCACAGGAGAAAATCCTACTGTGGGGCAACGTTTTTCAAAAAAAGAAAGAAGAAAGAATAAATAAACCTATTTTGTTTAAACAGGTATGAAGCAGTGATCCGTAGACTGATGCAGTTCCCCACAATGTTCGGTCTCAGTAACACTGCTATAAAGGCCACGCAGGCCTTCTGGCACCTCGACCACAGGGATTTCGATGTAAGTTTAAACAGAATTTGTATCCTATGACATTTTGGCAATAAATTCTATGTGTTTAATAATAAAAGAGGTCATGTATAGCCGACAAACGAATCAAAGACAACATTTATTGTTTTAATATAATGTAACCAATACTTTAAACCTCTTTGTATACATAAGCTTGTGAGCTAGCTACTCCCGCTCGGTTTCTCTCGCTGCTCGGCTCCATTTGATTGTAGCGTGATGTTTTATAGCCTATAGCATTCTGGAACATTGAGTTATCAATAAGTGAAAGAATTTTATGAATCCGACCTGTGGTTCCAAAGATTTCCCCCTACATACAAACTTACAAATTTTACCTCTTTATAATATTAGTATAGATTCAACTACCGTCTGTTTCCCCACAGTTCGCCCTAGACCAACTCCAATGCTTAACAGGCAACACATTATCAGACTGGCAACACAACGTAGTGCTATCAACATTGTTAGCACAGAAAAAGACTCAAGCAGCGCTACAATATCTCCACGTAAGGAAACCCGCCCCAATCCAGAATATACGGGACAGAGACGGAGATATGGCGACCTGTTCTATCAGAGTGAATGATCATGATAAATTGGATGATTGGCAGTCATGTTGCAACTTGTATCTGGCTAGAGGTCTAGTGTTTGAGGCTTTAGACGTCATCAGAATATGTGTTATGAACGCGGGCTGTGTCGAAGATAAAGTCACAGTTTTACAATACTTTTTCAAAGGTAAGTGATTGATTGTGCTTATTTTGTTTAAATCAAACTTACTACTAGTAAGTGTGGGAGAGCCATGTTTCGGCACGAATGGGCCGGCTCGATCGGAGTGATACCACGGCCTCACAGAAACCGGCGTGAAACAACCACAGCGTTGTGTTTCGCCGTGTGAGTGAGCTTACCGTGGGCCCAATACTTCCCCTCACCCTTTCCCTAAATCTCCAGATCTCTTATCCCCAAAAGGCAACGCATTCGTAACTCCTCTGTTGTCTCTAGAGGTAATCTGTCTGCTCTCCAGAAATTCCAGCACTCAAAGACATTCGAAGCGATGTGAGTGACGTTACCGAAAGCACAAACTATGTTGCTTTAATTTAAATAATAATCATATACACAGTATAAAACAAAATCGGTTTCTATGTCCATATATCCCTATGTATGCTTAAATCTTTAAAACTAGGCAACGGATTTGATGCGGTTTTTTTAAATGGATATAGTATTGGAGAAGAAGGAATACGTATAACAATATACATTAAAATATTGGAGAATTTTAGTATCAGTGGGCGAAGCCAAGGCGAGTCGCTAGTGACAATTAATTTGAATCCTACTTGGACTTGAGTAGTATGTCTTTAGGTCGTTAGCAAAGGCCCGTGTTTTGTATATAAAGAAACAAATCCTTATTTGTTTTAAAAGTTTTGAGACCTCAAATGTAGACTTTCAGTCAATACATATAAAATATATTTTCGCAGGTTGCAGAAACACGGGGAACTTGTCGAAGATCTTGCAAGTGACGATGTCGCCATTCGAAGAAGAGGTGTTTATCAAGTATCTTGAAGACTGCAATGATCCACATACATCCGATATACTTGTCATGTATTATTTACAACAGTCTAGGTAAGTTGATTTTTATGTTAATGTTATACTGTGAAATAAACTTTAATTTCTAAGTAAGTAGGTACATTTTTGTTGGATAGATTTGTCATAAGTGATGGTAAAAATCTAATTTTAGAGGAATAAGCGGAATCCACCGTCTCTTTTTCTCATCTTTATTGATTAAGTACTTTCATAAGCTATTTTATTTACTAAAGCCCATTACCCGATGTACACACTTCGAGTATTATCATCGTATCAGACGACTGGACATACATAGATCCCCCTAGTGACTTCCAGCTCGACAACTAGGAAGCCAGATTTTATTAGTACCTATTATATACAGCGAGTGGCCGTTATTACATTAGTATTATTATAGTAATTATAATAATTCCATTTAGATTAACACATTCAGTGCCCTCGACGCACCTGTGCGCTCTATACATTAATGTATTGAACGCACAGGTGCGTCGAGGGCACTGAATGTGTTAAACATATCTAAAGGTCTTCTGCTGTTTTGGCTTCGGCCCCTCTTCCCGCCTTCCTAGTAACCGGGGCCCTGCTATATTGTGATTGGCTAATAGGAACAAATAATAATAATAATAATGATATATCTTTATACTTGCTACTTTCGCGCAGTTGCACCCTCTGCTCGCAGCCTACAGATAGCGTAGCGTGATGTTTTATGGCCGGCTCACACACAGGCACATTTTAGTTACCTATCAGTGAAAGAATTTTGGAAATCCGACCAGTCGCTCCAAAGATTACCCCCTACGTACAAGCTTACAAATTACAATTTTTTCCTCTTTATATTATTAGTATAGATTAACAAACTACACACATTTCTTTAGATACCTCGAAGCGGAACGTTACAATAGTAAATTAAAGCAATGGAAGGGTCGTGGCGCCGAAGTATCTACTTCAGCAGAATCTCTATTGGAGTTGGTAGAGCGAGACAGCGCGCGGGACGCTCTCGTCGAAGTAGTGTACGCTGCACTGCCCGCTATAACTAACACTGTCGCGACTATTGCATTCGATAATACGGACGTTGAGCCCCACGGTAAGAATATTTACTTATTTATTTTTATTTGTTTCATTTTTGTACATATATGTAGTTTTACCTAGACAATCTTGTCAAAGTTAGGATGTTTTTAAAATGTTGACGCCTAAAAGTGATATTTTGTAGCTCATACCTAAACAGGAATAAATATCCTTTCATTAACGCAAATAATTATCCTGTATCTGTATATTTACCAATCCGAAAGTAAAATGAATTAGTCATTATCCATCCATGTTTGTGTTTAGCATGTGGTTTTATTGAATGATGTAATAAACAACCCACGAAATACAAAAAAGTGCTAGATTTTAGATTATGTATAGAAATATGATTTGATTAAGTATTCCTTTTTTTGTTGCGTGGGGAAAATCATCTATTACTTATAGGTAGTGTCAAATTCTTATTGACTAGAAACCACACCATCTCACACTACAAGCCGAGGTACATGATTGCGCTTGCACCCGCACTCCTAGCTGGTTGATTCCTACAACTTTATCATTTAGAAAATGAACTATAAACTTCACGAATTTCGTTTGCATAAACAAGTTCTAGCCAGCATTTTATTTTCAGTGATCGCTCCAAAACCGATGTCTGTATTCGTAAAGGCGAAATCACCGAAGAATACGTTCACATACAAATCCTCCTTCATACAGGTAAGACTTTTGTATTGAATAACTATTTACCCTCAACTGTACAGCGGTGTTAAAGATATGTAAATTGACCGAACCATGTTGTTTGGACAAAAATAGTTGTGATATAATCGTTCGGCAAATGTCATGAGTGCAATGACCTATAGCGCTCATAATTTATAATCAGCTGGAAGATCACCTCACTTGCTTATCCGTAGGTGTAATGCTTAGTGGCAATGTTAAGTAGTCTTCTAATTATAAAAAAATCAATGCCACTTTTCATTGTAATTTTAAAGTCAACAATGCCTTTGCCGATTTGCCTAATTTTGGTCTTGAATTATTCGTGGATGTCCTGAAAAGGTTTGAGCGTAGAGAAAATTAAAAAAAATATATATTGAAAAAGTCTAAAATCGACATCCCAAAAACTAGCTGTGTTTTATACATATCAAGCATTATCGTATGTGTTATTTTAAATAGTAAACATTTTAAATGATTCTTCTTATCCTAATTTATTTTTGCTTTTGCGCTCATAATATTTTAGATGCCATAAATATAGCTTCAATACTAAAACCTTTTTTCAAATTTACAACCTAGACATAAACTAATAAAACATGGTGTGACGTCAGATCTATCAAACTATACTAAACTAGATAAACATATGTTTTATTTTTAAACTTTTACGTGAACAATGAACTCTTTATTAGAGTTAGCACATTTTCTCCTAGCCTACCGCCGGCGACTTCACCCGCATATTATGTAGAAAAGGTCTCTTGATTAGCACCCGATGTATTAAAAATATTGGAAAAAGAAATACCTTATGTTATTCCCTGAAAAATAAGCTTTTCAATAATTTGTCAAAACGATTCTGTTCGACTTTATTTCAGTAATGCAAACGAACAAACAACCAAATTTTTATCTCGTTATAATGTCACTGACTATTCCCGCGCAGATTTATTTATATGTGGGAGCAAGTTAATCTCGGTTTCTATTGGTTGTGATGTTTTTATAATCTCCTGCGATAAATTCACAATTGAACACAAAAGTATTTTCTCCAGAGATTTTTTAAAACGTTGCCCCTCACTAAGCTTTTCTCCTGTGTCGTGGCGTAGCGGTTAAAACAAAACTTCACATACACATTAATAACACTGATTTTATTTGATACTAGCTACTTTCCGCTCCTCATGTTTTACAGCCTATAGCACTCAGGAACATTGTAGCTATCTATCAGTGAAAGAATTTTGGCAATCCGACTAGCGGTTCCAAAGATTACCCCACATACAAACTCACAAACATACTAACAAATTTATATATTAGTATAGATATAGATTTCCTCGTTTGACCAAACAAACGAACTCTCCAGCTTCATAATTTTAATATAGATGTGTGTGTTATTTTTTATTAGGATACCATAGAGAATGCTAGCGAGACGTGGATGAATAAGCCTAAGATGCGCAGGGGCATTAAACGCGCGCTCAACATTGAGGAGACACCATTTATTTGCACTCCGAAGTTAAACAGAACTAGAAGGTATGTGTGTTTTTAAATATTTCTTTGTGTTTTTATTCTTAAACTTTATTCTAAATTAATTTGATTAGTTCTTAATATTTCTTTATGTTTTTTTTTCTTAAGCTCAAACTCACTTGTACATTAGTTCTAATTAGAATTTTCGTATATTTTGTCTATAGGTACAAACGCGTTATTTTAAGAATGTTGGTTAGCTCGTAACTGGCAAATTTATAAGATCAACTACTTATAACGAATACTTCTAACTACTTTGTATACCTATCCTAGAGCCTACCTTATCATAATAAATAAATAAACCTTTATTTGCGTGTTAAGGTAATATCTAACAAGGGTTTTAAATGAAAATATTGTTTGAATCAGGTTAATAAACAAGATTTCTGACACAACTTAAACGTTTTATTTTAATAAAAGTTATAAGAAAAATTTTACAACGCCATGACAGTCGCCGTATTCAGAATGCACACACAATGCCGCCACCTAGCGTTACAATGGAAAAATAAAAACAAGACAAAGATAAACAAAACATATTCAAACTCCTTTTATAAAATTTCATCCAATAAATATCAGGCACAGCTTAAAGGTGTACTTTTTAGTCTAACTAAATGTGTATTAAGTAGGTTCTAATAAGAATGTGTTTTATTGACCTTAGATATGATCTTAAACATATTAATAAAGTGTTAATTTAAAGTTAATTCAAAACTAGTTAGGTATACTCGATATTTAGACTCATTTTTGCCACCTGAAAATTGCTCTTATTTCTTTTGTTAATAGAGTGTAAACTTATCTTTTATGTGCTAATTTTCGTTCCGCTGCTCTCAATGTCAATCTTCTGTAGGTACATTCGACTGTGCATAGATAATATTACTTCACAACCAATTGTTTTCAAAACTGAAATTTGAGAAAAGATTTTTCCTCACTTCACATCAACACATTTTTGTGGTATTAACATATCAATTGTACCGCAGCGTTCGGCACTAGTTAACGATACTTCATGAACATAAATTTTAACTTTAATAACAATGACCGTATCAGTGTCGTCATCTTATAAACGCCCATTGTTAAGCAAATGCATAGACAAGATTCAGACCAACACCAAATTCATTGATACTTTAAAAAATCCTGTGATACTGACAAAAGTCCCAATAATACATATAGTTACACTTTCTTATTACTTTAGTACAGTAATCTTTTCTTACAGCATCTTATCATCCGAACAAAAAACCTCAGAATCGACGCCTTCAAAACGGGCCAGGTTGGACCTCACTGGTACCCCGAGGACTCCAAAGGGATCGTCCCGTGTCAGCGAGAAACTTAGCACCCAAATGGCCACACTCCTCGACATGCCAGATGTACAGAGTCCGGAGTGCAAGCTGTATACTGAAAGAGCTGGTACTCCACATAGTATATTGAAGGTATGTTAATGATTTTATGAAGTTATTGGCTTTTGCCCCCGACTTTGTTCGCGTGGAATAGTGTCTTTCTGTAGATTTTTATTGAGTTTAAAAACCATCCAGTGTCCTTTCTCGAGTCCAAAACTACATCTGTACTAAATTCTCACAGATAGGTTCGGTATTTTAGGCGTGAAGAAAACACAGACAGACAGAGTTACTTTCGCATTTATAATATTAGTTTGGATTACGGTTAACTTTACTATTAACATAGCAAACTATTATATTCATACCAGCAGAAGAGTGACTATTAATCACCACAATTACTCAAGGCCGATTGGCGATTTCAAACTAATAAAAGAAAGAAAAGATCCTGACGATGTTTTTCTTCGTCGTTTTCTTCTTCGTAATCTTTGAAAATTTATTTATATGTGTATATGCAACTCAACTCGGAAAAGTCAAATTGGTAATTGAAGGGTTTGAGAAGCGGTCCTAAACCAGGCATAAAGATCCTTTATAATGAGCACACATATATCATGAGTTTTTTCTTCTAACAGACGCGACGTACGGATGACATGGATCGCGAAGCTCCGTCGCCAGTAGACTCCCGCTACTTGGGCGACAGTGACGACGAGTTATTGGAGACAGCCAGTAACCACACACACTACAGTGATTCCACAAACAAGTATGTATAGTATGCAATACTATTTAGGGCTGATTTTTCAATTATAAGATATAAGTTATCTGATGAATAATTATGATGCTGTCGCGTCAGAATTTTTATGACAGTAATAGCAACAATTTTAATCCTCAGATAACATTTATCTGACTTTATCAACTCTTAAACAATTACGATTGATTTCCCTGCTCTAATGTTTTGGTTTTGGAGATGCCCGATCACTTTTGAGGTTTGCCGGAGCTCTTAATTTTCTTTTTCTTTTTATTAAACGGTAAACAAGCATGGAAAGTATTTGTCGCGGCCCAAGGAGGGTGTCCTTGGGCTTCCACACCAGACGAGTTTCCGAGTTCGTTGGCAGACTTGAGTATTAGGGTTTAGGAGATTTTGGCATTGGAGGAGGGAAAGAAAGATCTCCGGTAAACTCACTCACACGGCGAAACAAAGCTGTGTTTGTTTCACGCCGGTCAAAAATATACCTTTCATTTACATTCTACTATTTTGGTTTAAGTATTCATAATTAATCAATATTCATTTGATTTTCCTCGTTCTGCGCTGTGTGTGTGGTAAAAATAATTTTATAAAAAAAAAATTGTCGTATTTTACATAATTTCTATTGTAGCTATAGAACTGTGTTCAATTTATAACGTATTTTGGTATCGTAACTTGTCATTTTCAACAAAATTACTAACGCAGTAAGTCAAGGGCTTCTGTCGTGGAATTTCAAGTAGGCAAAGTATTACATTTGATAACATTATCTTACTTCTAATTATATTAACAACTCAGTTATAGAAACTTCGTGAATAGGAAGGTACATTCTTAAAGTGAACTGAAAATAAATATACGGTAAAAGTGTACTAAGCTAACTTTGTGACCGTGTGATTGAGGCTACCAGAGGCGAATACACGAACTTGTTTTTTTTAAATAACGTTGCCCCGTATTAGGATTTTCTCCTGTGTCGTGGGTGCGGTTACAAACATATAATTTCACACACACATCATGACACCCAGACCCGGAACAACAATTTGTGGATCACACAAAGAGTTGTTCCGTGCGGGAATCGAAACCGCGACACGTTGCACGGCAGCCAGTTGCCCAGCCACCGCACCAACCGTGCAGTCAGTTGTTACTCCTTTGATGTTGCCACCTTTGGTGTTGCGGGTGTCCATTAGCGACGCCGAATGTTAACCATCAGTTAATCCAAGCGCACATTTGCCGTCTCATCTCATAAAAAACATGTCTCCGCAACATCACCCTTATGCACATCGATAATAAAGCCTAAATTTCCTTGTACCTCTAGACATCTTCGCTTCACAATTCCCACTGCATCGGAATCTGGATCGACGCCGTCACCGCCAACGAATTCTCAGCCCCAACAGCGCGAGAAAGAGATGGAGAGCACCACGTTAACAGTTGGAGAGAAAGAGATGGATGTATCTATTGACAGTTTTGTCACTACTACGTCACATGCTATGGTAAGGATTATTTTGAATTTATTTTCAAAAATGGTTTAAACCTATACTAAAGATAAACTTGTTTTGTAATAAGGGGGATAAAGTTTACTTTTCATATTATAAAACACTTAACAATTAGTTGTGACAAAAAAATCAGATTAAGGTAGGTAAATATCGTTGTATTTTCCAGAATGAAAACCATCCATTGGAGTCTCCTCCTAAGAAGCTGGCCACAGAACAATCAGTTAAAGGAAGAAAGTCTTTCAAAGACACCGTACGAGCCAGGTAAATATTTATTACTCATGCATAAAAGGCATACATAGAGGCCCATTCCTTTCCCACCCCCAATCTCAAAATCTCCAAATCCCTAATCCCCAAAAGATCGATAACGCAACTGTAACTTCTCCGTTGTTGCGGGTGTCCATGGGCGGCGCTGATTGCTTACCGTCTGCTCGTTTGCCGTCGGACCACATAAAAAGGAGCAACGATTCAATTATTTTAACACCTAACTAAATAATGTACTTACTTACCAAAGAATCTGCATGTGAAACTGATTTAAAAAGGGTGACCATGGAGTTTCTTGCTCGTTCTTCTCCCTCAGAATCTACACTTAGGAACGAGCAAATAGCTTTACTAAGAACTGACCAATAGACTCGACTTTTGATAGCTTTGTTAGACGTTTATAAGAGCCTGTAAGGGTCTTATTGAAATAAATGATTTGTACTTTATAATTTTTTTTTTTTTGAGTAACCATGGAGTTTATTGCTCGTTCGTCTCCATAGGAATCTAAACTTTGAAACAAGCAAATAGCTTCACTTAGAGGACTGACCGACATACTGACTTTTTATCTTTAAGCTTGTCATTCAAAAGTGTCAGTAAGAGTCTGACACTCTTGCTCGCAATACCCATAAGAGAGAAGCCATTTGATGATTTTCCCACCACAAAGAAAAGGTCTAATTGTAATAAATGATTTTGAAAACAAAATTCGTTTCAGACGCTCCCTTTCGCTGTCAGTGAACAGTAGCCTATCGGATGACCCGAACACATCAATTGAAAGCATCGCAGACATACCAGTGACACTGATCAACCCTCGGTATTCCGGAGATAAACGCCATTACTACACAAACAAGGAGACAGAATACGAACACACTACAGAAGGCCTTACCGAAACTGAAGTGACGGAAACTGCCGAAGTACAACGAGAAGTGCCGAAGACGCCTCGCGGAAGAAGGGGTATCAGACCCAGTGGTGGTGAAAGTACACCGCTTAGGACGTGAGTTTATTTTTATTTGTATTAAATTACTGACCTATTACATCACGTCGTCAACCTATAAGTGCCCATAAGGCCGCTGCCTCGAATCTTGCGGGCAGCGGGGCGGCAGCGGCGGCGGCGCGGAAGCGGAGCGGGCATCGCAGAACCTCTCTTGAAACTAGCGGGCGGATCGCGCGTCATTGTAACCGCTTAGTGTTGTGTTCATTATTGTCGTCGACATAATATTTGGTTTTATTTGCGAACGAAATGTCTGAACAATGGCGGCAACATCTTTTTGATTCACATTTATTCCTAACGCTCGATTTGATGTGGACGCGGGCGGTCACCGCTCGACTAAAGTACAGGGCGCGCTGCCCGCGCTCGTCCCGCTGCCGCGCGGCTGTATTCGAAGGCCGGTCCGTTTGATTAAACGCGTAAGATCCTGCCGCTCCTGCGCTGCCCGCGAGATTCGAGGCAGAGGCCTTACTGACCAACACCCGAAGAAGGTTTGAGCATTAATCACACCACGCTTGATCCCCATGTGGCGACGGCGATGTCAAGCTTGTAATTAGAAATTATAAGACCACGTTTTCTCACTTGTTTTCCTTCTTTCACCGTTAATCTGTGGTGTCTTAATAATCATAGAAAGTACATATGACTCGTAAAATGTCGCATTAGTACTTGCCAGATCACGAACTCGCCTCTTCATTTATGAAAAGTGGACGCCTCCACCTACGGGCCAGTATGAGTATGTTGAACGCATAGTCTACTGGGCTATGTGTTCAACTAATCATAAAATTTGAATCATTATTTATTGTGAAATTTGTTTTATATTATTACAGAAGTCGTAATACAACTCCAGAGCGATTAGACTCGCCAGTCGCTACCTCATTGCGCGGCTCACGGATAACTAGGTAACTAATTTTATACAGTTTCATGACAATAGATTTTAAGGAAACAGAGTCCCTAGTTTAAGTTAGCTGTACGTTAGAGCAATTAACACGTTTATGTGATTCGGCGCTCTGATTGGTCTGCGCCAAGTTAAACAACCAATCAGAGAGCGAAAAGGATGACTGAACGGTGTAACGTTTCTCCCTCCCTTTCTAAAGGTAGTAAACACGCATTAGGCTCCCTGAATCGATGGTCACCCATGACGTGATGAATTATGTTTTTCAACACATCATCTTACTCATAGGTTTAGGAAAAATCATGCTTGCTATTGCAACAGAAAGACCATGCTTCGGTATTTATGGGTTGATTCTTCCGGATTGATACTACTTGACTACTGTTTGGTTGTTTCTTTAACACAAAATAGCCTCTATATACTTAATCTATTATGGTTAATCATTATTGTAATCAGCATGTAATTAAAATTTGTTAAGAGTTCATACGAAATTGTAACACTATTTATTTTGTACTAGGAGTAGATCTCGCACCCCAGACCTGAGTCCGCGGACATCTCCTCTGGCCCCTATCCCTGAATTGCCACGCCATGAAGCCCACAGCGAACCTCACCCTGAGAAAACCACTCTTAGTGTCCCGAGACGTCTCAGGTATATGCGCCATTCGTCTGGCTTTCGTACAATATTAAAATTCGGTTTAATGATAATATTACTACACTGCGGCTCATGGTGCTAAGATATAGTATGGTAAAACCCTTAAGCCCTTAAGGCTGACATAATTATGTGTAGACCAATCAACAAAGTACTTATACATAAACTAGCTGACCCGTCGCTGCTGTCTCAGCAAACTTTGTACTGCCTCAAAAATAACTAATATTTTCTTTTCTTTAAACCCTTCCTGTATATCCAGGAATATTTCAAGACCACAATAAGCCATGTCAGTCCAGCCTTTCTCGAATTTTAGCGAGACTAACGAACAGCATTTCATTTCATATTTCATTTAGATAAATAAATCCACATAATAATATGTCGAAAATTTAGTATGTTGTATACAAGTATACTCGTGTATATATAAGTGTCAAGCGGAGTCATTCATCATGAACGTCGTCGGCCGCTACGTTGTTATTAACGTTAAAATTCGACATGTTTCCTACAGGAGTAGATCCCGCACTCCAGATCGCGTAGATAAAGGTATAGCAGAATCTCCAAGGCTGGAAGCCATTACAGAATCTCCAACAAAGTCTACCAACACTGAGTCCTCGTCATCTTCATCGCCCACACGACGAAGTTTGAGGTAATTATAAAATCATCATCATCATCATCGGCCTATAAGTGCCCACTGCTGAGCAAAGGCCTCTTCTCACACGGGGAAAGTTAGAGCATTAATCACCACGCTTGCTCAATGCGGGTTGGCGATTTCAAATTATAAGTCCAGGTTTCCTCACGATATTTGCCTTCACCGTATGTCAGTGGTGTCTAAATAATCATCATATACTTATAACTCGGAAAAAGTCACGTTGGTACTTGCCAGGTTTCGAACCCACATCCTCATGCATGAGAAGCGTGTTTCTTAACTTCCGGGCCACCACGAATTATAAAATGCAAACTTTTTAACATTTGATATTATTTCAGAATTAGTAAAAGGTTTTAGGTTTAGGGTTTATGTCACCTCTTGTAAAATAAGGTAACATAGTTAACAAATGTTTTTACATAGCTTTACAAACGCTTTCTATTCTAGTTCTGTATCTGAACACTCGATCTTACACCCGAATATTTAATTGCTACCCTATTTAATATTCTGTTTCGATATTGTGCGACGCCACGATATATTTTTAAGACGTTGAAAGAAAATGAGAAAGGGACTTCTTTTTAATTATCAAGTATTTAAAGAGACAGAAACATCGAGTGTCTTAAATTTTGGTGACGCTTATGCAATGGTCATCCTGCAAGCACTGGCCCATGATATAATATGGTATGATTCCATTTTAACTAGAATTAATGATTTAATTATCTTTGCTTTGGTGTGTAGGAGCCGTTCCCGTACTCCAGAAATAGAAGTTGTGCAAGAAATCGTATCAAAGCCTTCACCGCGTAGTTTAAGGTACGTTTTTCTGACTAACCAAACTTGAATTGACCTTTTTTTGCTTGACGTTCAAAAGTGCCTTTTGTGGTCTACTTGAAATAAAGAATTTGATTTGAACATTGATTCCAAAGAATAAATTCCATTCGTATTGAAATAAATAATAAGTGTTGATGAAATTAATATTCATATTTCGTTCATGTTCCAGGAGTCGTTCTAAGACACCAGAAAAGCTAATGTCTCCCAAAAAAGATACAGCACGAAGCAAAAAGTCTTCCCTATCCCGCAAGGCTTTCGAAAACATCCTATCTGCCAAAGTCAAACAGGCCGATAAAATGGACACAGACAATGAGGATAAACCTGTAGTAGCTATCGAATGCACTCCAATGAAAACATTGAAGCAAGTCCCGAACTTAATGGACGTCACTCTCTCTCCGATAGTCAACAAGTCAGTACTACAGAGTTCCACTGACACCACACTATCAGAAACGGTTGAAAAAGAGGTCAAGACTGACAAAAGTGCGTTGGAAACAGACCTTAAGCCCTTCCCAGCGTTCACTACACTACATGAAACTTGTGTCGAAAAATCAGTTCTACACAGCTACCAAAGCAGCGTAGCAGAGATAACTGATACTTCAATTAACATTCGCGAAGAAAAAGTTGTCGTTGAGAAAAGTGAGATGAGTGTACTAAAACCTTTGCCGGCATTTACTTTAAATGAGACTGAGTTTGATAAATCAGTTCTGAAAAGCTACCAGAGTAGCGTGGCTGACGAATCAAGCGTTCAAGAAGATAAAGAAACTCAAGCGGATAATAACACGTCCAAACCTTTCGCCGCATTCGTACAAATGATACAAACAGATTTCGAAAAGTCAGTCCTGCGCAGCGCAGAAAGCAGTGTCGCTGAAGCTTCGCAATTAAAAGATGATTCTAAAGCCCAAGAAGCGTCAAGCCTCATGACAAATGATAGCGATGCTGACATAGAAATGGAAGAAAATGTAGATACTAAGAAATCTGCGGCAGAACAGAAGGAGAAAGAGAAGATAGTGGAGATTGAGAGGGAGATAGATGAGATTCAAGATATGTCTGATGAGGATGATCAGGATGGCAGCGGGACTTCTGGGGATGAAAGAGATGATGAAGGTGAATCGGGCAGTGAGGCGTCCGATGAGAGCGAGGTAAGTCAACGCAATAATTATACAATGTACCTCCACGGAATAAGAATAAAGTCAACGTATATACCTCAAGTATAAAGACAGTCAATTGCGCTATTAGATTTTCTAATAATTTTCTGATTCAACCAGAATTATAAGTACCTACAAGTTTTCTTTGGGAAATTAATGATTAAGAAACAAGTTTACTTAACATTATGTGTCATCACAACACACTTGCTTTTGCCCGCGACTCTGCGTGGAATAGTGACTCCCTGCTGTTTTTTTGTGTAAAAACTATGTCCTTTCTCGAGTTCCAAATTAAGTCTGTACCAAATTTCACTGAAATCGGTTCAGTAGTTTAGGCGTGAAGAAAAGACAGACAACCAGACAGACAGACAACCAGACAGACAGACATAGTTACTTTGGACGTTACGTTTGGACTACAATTGTGACATGTCATTAAACATATTACATTTAATTTGTTGTCAAGTATCCATTTCATTTTTATTCAATTTATTAAAGAGTAACAATTATATAAATACTGATTTGCTCAACAGCAAATTCCTAAGGCAGAAAAGTTGGAACTGCCTGAGACTAAAGACGTTGCAATAAACGACGGTAAAACATGTGTCACACTCAACGCGGTAATTTAATAGTTAAACCCGAAAAGGGATCATATTCATGTAGTAGACTTAGCCTATGAATATTTGTAGAAACTAGAAATTTGTGCTTTTCGTAGAAAAACATAAAGCGTTAAAAAACATATGCCCGGTTTCCGAAAGGCCGATCAATGTTAAAATCAACTTACTAGGTGTCAAATCTCTTGTCAAGACATCTGATTGGTTGTTGATAATTCAGTCAACCATAGGTGTCGAATCTCTTGTCAAGTCATCTGATTGGTTGTTGATTATTCAGTCAACCAATCAGATGACTTGACAAGAGATTAAATTGATTTTAACATTGATCGGCCTTTCGGAAACCGGATGATAGTCACTGTTTCGAACCAATACGTAAAGCTGATCAAACAAATCCTTTGAAATAATTGAGTAGTTAGATTTTCTTCATTTAGTATTCATTTTCTTATAATAGTTGTAAACAAGATATCAACTTAATTGTCTGCTTGGTTTAGTATTTTTTATTAATCTTAAGTATCTTTCGAATAGTTTTTAATCAATTTCCAGTTTAGTTTACAAGTGGCATCATTAAATGTTCCGATAAATAAATACCAATTAAACATTTCAGTCAAATACATCAAACGAAGGAATGGAAGAAAACGACGAAGTTATATCAATAGAAGATTCGGACGAGTCTAGCGATAAATTGGAAATAGATGAGAAATCCAAAGATAGTGGGAAATCTGAAGAACCAAACATTAATAATGAAGCAAATAATTTAGAAAAAGATAATTTAAAAGATAAAGAAATATTGCAAGAACATAAAGATGAAATTGCCAATGAAACTGCAACTCAAGTAGAGAGTTCCGATAAGTTTAACCAAGCTAACTTCTCGCTTATGACTGATGATAACTCAATTGCATCAGATAAGTCCGATTTGAACTTAAACTATTCTGGGGAAAGTGCGAAGACTACTGCCAGTAATGAGAAAGCTGAAGGTGTAGATAAAGGTAACAGTCTGTATGGTTGTATTCTTTGTAGCTTTTTGTTGTATTTTGATCTCTATTTCAATTTGTGTAAAGGTAATTTTAGAGTCTACAGATAATGTTATGATGCTTACTTTGCGTTGGTTCTTTCTATTAGAACAGAATTTAGATGCAAGATGATAGATTACCTACTTTGCATACACCTACTGTTATAAAATTCGAATCCAACTTTATTTCATTTTATATAAAACCATTAAGATATTTTTTCCCTTTTTCCTAGAACCAGCCGTCCAAGTCCAAGCTACATCTTCAGTAGACAAAGCAAAAGATCTCACGCCAGCCGAAGAAGATAAAGTTGAAACTCCAAAAGAAATAAACATAGAGCCAGAACAAAAATCGACAAGTGAAGAAGTAAAGGAATCTGAAAATAAAGAAAAGACTGAGAATATTCCTGAAAAAGAAACTGTGGCAGAGGTTCCTAAAGAACCAGAAACAGAACGGAAGGCAAAAGATACACAGAAGGAAACCGAAGGAGAGGAAACAGAAGAAGTGGTAGAACAACCAACGCGTTCTAGGAAACGTGGCAAATCTACATCATCAAACAAATCTACAATAGAAGATACAACTGTCGAAACTGAGATCAAAACTCCAGCAACGAGAAAACGCACACAATCAAACGCTTCAAACAAATCCGTAGACACAGAACAAAAAACTCCCGAAAGCGCCGACGTAACAACCCCTTCAAGACGGCGGGCAAAAACTCCAACCAGCGCTGAAGTTAGGAAAATAATCACTCGAAGAGTATCTCGTGAAATGTCTGAAAAACACGACGATTCGAAGGCCTTAGATGAATCCGTAACCACTCCGAAACGACGCTCAACTCGTTCCCGTAGCAAAAACTTTGATGATAATGAAAGTGTTGCTTCTGAAAGCTCTGTAGCCTCAGTTAGGAGTAAGGCGAGTGAGGATGCCGGCGATAGGGCCGTTAGGAAAGGCCGTAAGTCCGTCCTCGTCAGCAAGCCTGAACTATCTGTGATACCCGAAGTTACCGTTGAGGATAACTCCAGAATGGATACGGAAAACGTTATCAATGAATATTCTAGTGCAAGAAGGTAAGATGTCTATCAAGATGCTATTAATTATCACAGTTTAGGGAAATGTTATGTAGGTTTTTTCAATTTCAAAAAGCGTTTTCATTATGAATTGCAATATTTAAGCTTTGCCCTGAGAATTTGTCAATCTAGTTAATTGATCTGTTATTCGGCTTATTGCACCGACATATAATAGCAAATTTAAAGTTACAATTTGGTCTTTTCAAATACACATTAACTCATCACCATTCATATGTAGTTAATCAAATACCCTCCAAATTAAAGTAAAAACATAAGACCACACAATTGGCTTGCTGACCAAAATTTTTATTGTATTAAGGAGTTCATGGAATTTAAAGTTCAAATTTCCGTTAACATTTATTCTTTGTAACACCTTGATACCAAGCGAATAAGTATATGATTGTTATTATAAAACTGGCATGTACCTATATCCTTTGTTTTCAGACTGACTCGCCATCAAAAAGCGGTGTTGGAATCGTGGCTAGAGCCTCAGGCGCAAGCGTCGCCTCGCCGCCGTTTGAGCACGGCGTCCCGCACGTCACATACGTCACATACGTCACGCTCCATCGCCTCCGAGGCGGACGATGATGACGCCTCGTCGACCCACTCAGCTGCCTTTGACGTCCAGCCTATCGATAGAATCAGTCTACTGAACAAGACCGATTTTGAAGGTATGTTGTGTTTTACTAGATACTAAAGAATATAAAACTAGAATGGACATTGATTTGAGATGTTTTTCTTTTTGTTACTATGCGTTTGTAAAGAAATAGTTGTTATAGCAATATTTTTCATATTTGCTGTGTCGTTTAAGCTTTATCTTAATGTCCATAAGGTTTAAATGGCGAAAGATATAACTTATTAAAGTAAAAATATATGTAGTTGATATTCCATCTCTATCACTACAATTTATAGTAAATTTTTAATGTAATTTGAACTCTAAGCACTTGTTATAACTGCTTAGCACATATAAGCGTTAAGTTACTAGTAATAAGCAAATACTTATGTAGAAATGCACCCTGCTATTTCAGCATGATTTAATTTGCAAATTATAATGTACACTTAGATGCACTAATTTTGTTTTTTAAGAAATTTAATATATATTAATATCAATGCAAATTTAACTTTACAAGACTGCGCTCAACTGATTCTTAGCTACAAGCAAAAAGGATTGTGTGAGCGGGACGCAAATACTTACAACAAACAATTGAAAGAGATCCCCTATCTGCACAATAATATTAGTTCAGGGAACCGTATTATTCACCTCTCACTCAAAAACAATACATGTGAGCGAAAGGCAGATGACACTGAAGAATATTGGTTCCCCTAAAATTTAAACCAGCAAGACGAGATATTAAAAACAACAAGTCCTTTTTTATTTGCATACAAAATTCATATTCATACAAGAAAGTTTTGTATATCCACTCGAAACTAAACTCGAATACGAAAGAAATAGAGAACAATATTGTCCAAATTAATATCACGTCTTGCTAATTAACCACCATATATATGCATGTATAAATATAACTAGAAAAGTACTAACGCTTGACTAGGCTTGGCGGACCCTGATGAACTGCAGATGGATTTCTCGCCAGAGTCTATCGCATCGGACGCCAGCAAGCAAAGGCGAGGTAAGTGACGCTTTATAATGCTTTTAAACTGCCTTAGTATAACTGCATGAACTTGGTAGAAACATGTTCTTGTAATCTGCATGATCAAGTCCTTTCTAATCCAGTTTTTCAATAAATAAATAATAATAATTTATAATGTTAGGAGTGATTGTAAATAGTAGGTAAGCGATTAAATTCCACTAGAAGCAAATGTGTACTATATCCAACAACAAGGAAAAATATCTACCTGCGGTTAGGTTTACAGTAATCCTTAGTGGATAATGTTATTAAAAGCCTTATAGAAATATTTTAACTTCAGGCGACTGATGAGTAGTCTAAGCCACAGAAAAACTGCCAATGTTGAAAGCTAAAACAAATATGGAGGTACCTATATGTATGATTTTTGAAAACTGTAGAGAAGGCACAAATAATAATTTGTTTTTTTTTTCAAAATGCCTGTGGGGACATTAACTTTGAATGAACCATTTCCAGAATAGTATACAATTATAAAGTCAAATTTGAATATCATTTTCGCAATTATTACAGCGCGTCTCGGCAGAGCTGCGTCAGAAACAAAAGCCACGCCCCGCGCAGCCAAAATCAATAGAAGGATATCTGTTGACGTTGGTAAGTTTACAATTTCTGATGCAAAAGTTATTACTAGAATTTTAATTGTTTAATCAAGTTTTGTTGGTACTTACAAGAAACCTGTGCTTTTGGAACAAGAAGCTAACTTTCTTACTCTACAAATTCTGCTTGATGGTATGTGTTCAATTTGCATGTATCAGAGTTCCTGTCTGAGGTTTCATTAAATTTAATGCTTTGTCTTATGCACGGTTTCCAGAAGCGTGATCAATGTTTAAATCAACTAACTAGGTGTCAAATCTCTTGTCAAGTCATCTGATTGGTTGTTGATAATTCGGTCAACCAATCTGATGACCTGACAAGAGATTAAATTGATTTTAACATTGATCGGCCTTTCGGAAACCGGGTGTAAGTGTCACATAAAATAATTATATGTGTACAGCCAAATGGTTTAATCAGTGGCCAATTAACAGCCTGGCCTCTTTTCGCAGTACAATTTTGTTGGCTTTCTTATTTCTCACTATAGTGCGATTTTTGTGCAGGTCACAATTTTCACCTATCCTATCATTCTGATAGCAACTAGGTTTTTCTGAAAACCCCTTTACTTTTACATACATAAAATCATTAATTTTATATAAACATCAATAACAATAAATGCTACATCCTTAATGTTGATTTTTTCTCAGCGGACAGTCCGGACCGCGGTTCACCAGTGCCGATGGGATCAGAAAGTCCGGCACGTGGCCGGCGCAAGTCCTTCAACCGCGCCTGCGAAGCGCTACACACGCCTAAAGGCAGGCGGACTTCTACCGACCTTAGGGTACGTATATTATCATGTTTCATGGGTAATCGTGTTTTAAGAGCCAATAAACCATCACAGACAGGGCCCTACAGGGCTGATGTTCAGCCGGGGTTGCGGGTTATGCGCAATGAGTCACCGCGGCCTGGGCCCAGAGCAGGAGAAGGAACGGGGGGGTTTTTAGTCAGTAAGAGTCTGACACTCTCTCTTGCCTTACCCTGGGCATGAGAAGTCATTAAATGATTTGCTCCTTACAAAAAATGGGTAACCGTGTTTTATTATTATCATAATTCATAACAATGAAATATAAAACTCTTTCCAAAAATTCGTGTTACAATGAAAATTGGGATAAAAGATTATTAGATACGGTGTGAATATGAAGTTATATCGGATTATCTGTTACTTTCGGACAATTTCCGTTACGGATATAAAAAAAAAGGAATTTCAAAATTATAATAAAAACACAACGTATCTCAATTAAGATCCATCCCTATCCAATATTATCCGAAACTTTTATTTCGGATTCGGTTACGGTCACGGAGCTCCCTAACATCCTTGATTTAAAATTTACCTTTAGCAGTATTACATAAAGTATGATTTCCATTTTAGAAAGGAGACACGGAAAGTCCTGTCGAGTCGCCGGCGGCGTCAGAGAGCGAGGCGGCGACTCCAGCGAGGCGAACGAGGCGCGCCGCCTCCGTCGTGTCCAATACTAGCCAAGCTAATTCTGAGTCGGGGAAAAGGTGAGGAGGACCTCTCGGAATCTCATTATAATCTCTATATATCTCATTATCAAACTACGAAATGAAACAAAATTTGATAGTTTCCTAGTAAGGTCAAAAATAAATTTATTCGACGTTTCAACAAAATAAAATATTGAAACGTTACTATACTTTTATTCATCGATCTGTCTATACACAAAATTTTCGATGTTTTTTTATTAGAAATAAGTAAGCTATTTGACCCTCTAATACTATGACGTCATAATTTGGAGTTTCATGCAAATTTCATTGAAACGTATTATATTTATATAAGTATATAGTTTTTGACATTTGGATAAAAGTATCGTATAATTTGACTATAGTCAGAATTTTAATTCGATTCCTGATTTGACATGACCTACTTACTGTCATTTTGTGAAATAATGATACCACATATAACAGTGTAGTGATGAACACAAAAATCGATAAACAATCAGTAAATCAGTTTCAAGAAGGCATTCAAAAAAATACGACTACCGAATGTTCTAAATGCGTATCCCATGTTGTCAAAGAAGAGGAAAACATGAGTAAGCTAGATATGTTAATTGACAATAAATATCACAGCAGACACAATTCATGTTCCTTCATGATCACATTTTTTATTAATTCACACACATTCACAAAAGAAAAGTCTCAGATCGTTAATTAACTGTCAAAACTAAATTATCGGCTCAGAAATATTTTATTTCCTGATAAACTTAGTTCAGAGTAAATTTATAAACGAGAGGAATCGATTCAGAAATATTCGATTTCCACATCGAATAATTTAGCAACGTCACTATTTAGTACGTGTCATAACGTTGCAACACTGAAATTGTCAAATCTGGAATGGAATTAAAATTCCGAGTTTAGTTAGAAACTATCGTATTCTTACTAATTCTATTTTATTAACCGACTTCAAAAAAGGAGGAGGTTCTCAATTCGACGAGTATTTTTTTTTTTTATGTATGTACACCGATTACTCGAAGACGCCTGGACCGATTTGCAAAATTTTTTTTTTATTCGATGGGGTATACTTGCCATTTGGTCCCATTGTCATGAGGTCAGGACCTGATGATGGAATCCTGGAGAAACCGAGGGGAACTTTCGAAAATTGTAGGGGCGAGTAGTTTTTTTGTATGATGTTTAAGTATGCCTTTAAGAACACTACAACTTGACGAAGGTCGAAGTCGACCAGATGTTGGAGCTGGAAGACAGTCGAGGGATCTCCTTGACTATTTGGAGCAGTTGCCTTGTGTTTGGGCTTGAATGATTCGTATTGGCGAGCACTTTGCACCAGACTTGGTTGTAACTGTCATTAAGGGTCTGATGATGAGAACGAAGGACAGCTCAGGGAACTCCTGAACGGTTTACAGTAACTACTTCGTGTTTGAACTTAATTCATTTATGTTGATGAAAACTTTGTACCTGTATGGATTATAACAACTGAAGGTCTGCAGTGTACCTGACGATGGAGACCATTGACAGTCGAGGGAATTCCTCAACGATTCATAGCAGCTTCCTTGTGTTTGAGCTTAATTAATTGATTTTGATAAGAACTTTACATCTAGATGGATTGTGACTGTCATTAGAGATCTGATGATGAAGACGAAGGACAGTCTAGGGAACTCCTCAACGGTTTACAGTAGCGACCTCGTGTTTGGACTTAATTTATTTATATTGATAAGAACTTTCCCTCTCCTAAAGAGGTGGCCTGTGACCCAGTAGTGGGAACATTAAAAAGGCTGATGATGATAATGATGAGAACTTTCCCATTTCTTGGGATCTATATTTTTTAATAGAGCGGCTCCTTTCGCAGGCCTACACATAGCTACTAAAAAATATATATACTATTGAATATGTTAATTTATATTTATTAAAATGTTACTGTAGTTTACAGAAGAACTTGTAACAGACACTAAAAAGTAAAAAATAAAAAAAACTACGTTTAAAAAAACCGACTTCAAAAACAAAAAAGTGTCAAATAATTAAAATATATATTTTAATACCACTCTCACGTACGCGAAGCTAATACTTTTAATATTAATAATAAAACACTATCAATTCTATGTGCTACCTATTCATAGGTTTGAAGTCGGTGCCAAGCCCTAAACAGAATAAAACTAAATGAGAATTAAGACTGTTTAACTGCTAAAGGACGAAATTTCCACAACCAACAACGAACCTACCTACTACTACTTTTAACAACCCACGAGTTACGTTTATTACGAGAAAACTTTTAGAATTCATAATTCACCCGAATATCTTTCTAAGCTATATATAATTTCGCATGTAACGAAACAATATAGACTTATGATTCTACGCTAAGGCCATCAATCAAATGCTTATAATATTATGTATTAGGCTTGGCACCGACTTTAAACCTATGAGGTAGCACATAGAATTGATAGTGTTTTATTATTAATATTAAAAGTATTAGCTTCGCGTACGTGAGAGTGGTATTAAAATATATATTTTAATTATTTGACACTTTTTTGTTTTTGAAGTCGGTTTTTTTAAACGTAGTTTTTTTTTAATTCATTTATTTCGCTCTCAGATACGCTGCTGAGTTCAAATTTAAATTTAATTTATTTCTTTCTTTCCAGGTCAAAGAAAACTGGTCTAGATGAAAGTAAGGACACAAAGAAGAAATAAGTTTGATATCTAAGTTATTTTTATATTTATAGTGAAAGTAATATAGGGTTCAGTTTTGTTTTTGCATTTATAACATAATAAATCATTTACCATAAATATACTGTTTGTGTTGTTATTATCCTACGTAGAATATGCCCTGTATAAGACAATCCTTAAAAGGTCTGACCTTTCGCCCTTATTTCGACGTTCCGGGAAAGGATCAGACCACAGTCTATCTCTATACCATTTTTTATCAAAAACTCTTCACAAATCATCGTATGGCTGATTATTGTAAAACCACTCGGCGTCATACGAGCCGAACTGAAATCATACGAGCCGAACTGAAATCATACGAGCCGAACTGAAATCATACGAGCCGAACTGAAATCATACAAGACGAACCGAAATCACACGAAACGAACCAAAATAATAAGAGATGAACCCAAATCATACGAGACGAACTGAAATCACATGAATTCATACGAACCGACCTCATATGAACTTTTGAACGAACAATTTCAGAGCACCTTTTACGAGAATTTTACGGTCGTTTAGAGGGCAAGGTCAAGTATCGAGCTGTTCGAATCGTTGACTGCCCTGTTGTCTTGGACCAACTGTTCTCTGGCACTATGACTCTGTCTCACGGAGAATATTTTGAGGATTTTTTCCGTTTTGATCCCCGCGCTGCATCTTTTCGCCATCGTGCTACCGAAAATGTTTTCTACATCACATTGATAGTTGGCAGTCAACAACTGTGCGATTTACGCGAAACTTTCTACAGGTATATCTATAGGTAGTAAAAGCAATAAGAAACAGTATTTTAAAATATATTTATTTAATACACAATCAGTCAAGTTACTTGTGATCACAATCAACTTTATGCGCTTGTAAGACAAACAATCATAGTACCTATTAATCGATTTGTTAAGTTGACGTTCAATACACAAAAAATATTTTGTAAATCCATTTTATTTTTAATAAAACTTCCGATTAAGATTAAATGCAAATCTTCCGCTAACATCGATCATTGATAGCTTTAGCAGTGAACATAAGGGTCAATTTACAACGGGACGCAACGCTACTTGCTTGGTTTAAAAACACCCATCAAATAAGAACTTTATTTTCTACACAACAAGATACACATTTTGATGCAATACGTATAGCAATGGTTGTTTTAAAAAATCCCACCAAAAAGCAACTTTATTTTCTACTACAGACCAAAATACAAATTTGAAATGCCTAGCGCGGGCGGCCGCTTTATTGACCTCTTACAGGATCATTGCGTTACGTCTCGGTGTGAATAATTGACTCCAGTGTTGGAGTATGCAAAATAAGTTTGTTACTTTTTCAATATAACTTACAGAAGTTACAGAATCGTTGTGAATAAACATTTTAATATGCCTAGTGTAAGTACACATTGTTTTTTTATAAAACAATTTTTTTTTTAGAAAAATGCCTTACTTGCTTTCCTATAAGGCGAAAAAACAGACCATCTTGAAGTAAGCTCAATGGTTACAAACCCTTTTAAACCAAATTATAATCGTTAGAAGCAAAATTTTGACTGATTTCTAAGATAATCGTAAAATAAATATTACTTATACGTAAAAATGCTTTACGAATACTTGATAAGCTGTGACCGTCCCGGTCGGTTATAGACGAGAAACCAAATATATTCGGTCTTATTACAAAAAAGATTTATCTTAAGTAAAGTTCAAACCATTGAGACAGGTTTTGGATTTTAAATCTTATTGTCACCTACCTTGGATTCAGAATATAAAAACAGGCCCAATAGTTTAGACCTAGACTGAAGAAAACCTTATTTTGTAATAAGGCCGAATTGGTTTGTCGTGGACAGCCAACCATGGCAGTCAAAGGATTAAAATAAATTAATGACTTACACAAGTTTTATCACATTCAACTGGTGCGAAGTTTAAGTTTGGCCGAATTATGTACCCTCCGACATAGTTTATAATAGTTTATAAGTATAATCGTGTGATATTCCAGTATTGGGGCAGTTACCGCAATCAAAAATAAATTATTTCTTCTTTTCGAAACGATATAAGATTAAAAAGTAGTAACAGTTTTTCTTTCATTAATTTAGTAGCAATTTATTTAATTTTGAGATTTTTTCTAGCATTTTTTATGAATGGAAATAATTTATTATTGACTTGGTCATCATTTCTTTTATTGTATTTTCTTTATCAATACATTTTGATGCCGAAAATCGACAAGACAGTAATTAATAAAGATCTTTGGCTATATTTATATGTTGGTCAAACTAATAGCCAGTGTATTATAAAATAATTTGTTTCGATTCATTTTGTCTAACTTACTGTTGTAATTTTCATTATAAATATGTCGAAAAAATGTTATCTAATATGGCAATAATACTCAAAAATTTCGAAAACGATCTTAATCGGCCTTACATCTTTATCTTAAAGACATATAAAGAATTTATATGAGGAATACAAATTAGTAAAACGTACCGACAAATAAATGCATCGCATATAAAAACCAACTTAGGAAAATAACCGTTTACCTGTCATCCTTTTCAAAACTTTTTAGAGATCGTATGTGGTGTAATAAATTTGCGTCTTCTGGTAAAGACTTAGGCAACGCTATCTCATTCATATCAACACTTTTAAGAATCTCTTGCGACTCTTTGCTTACAGCCATAGCGTTGCAAATCGCTCTATCTTCTGGCTTCAAAGAAATAGTTTTCGTACAATCTACCACTTCTCTTTTTGGTCTAACCAGCGCTGGTTTCCCATTCGCTTCATCTTTTGAATTGACGCCATTACTCTGGGCTGCCATCACTTTGATATTATCAACTTGAGCCAAAGGTTTTCTATCTATCTTAATTTTATTATGAGCTAGCTCATTAACTATAGGTGGAGGCAATTTTTGTACAATTCGTTTCTCTGCTTTACCCTGTGTGTCTTCGCCTTGCTTATACGATTGTGGTTCGTCTGGAGAGTGAGAATGTTTAGCTTCTGCTTCAGGAATTTGAACCTTACTATCGACTATATTGTTTGCCATTTGTGCGTTATTCGCTTCATTGATATCTCGTTTGACTTGATTTACTGGTGCAACGTTACTTGGTACAGCTGCTCCATTATTTTGAACTAGTTTGTTTACTTGTGGTACATCATTAGCAGCTGCAATTGGTTGTTCTACTTTGCCGTTAACCAAAGGCGGTATAGCATTTAAAACTGGTGGATCTGCAGGGGCTTGTGGTTGGTTTTGACTTGGTTGTACATTTTGTGCAGGGTTTGCTTCACCGTTTACTTGTTGTGGAGGGTTGTTTTCGACAGCTTGTGCAGGCCGATTATCTACTATATCCTGTGCTGGTTTGCTTTCTACTGCCTGTGCAGGTTGTTCAGGTTTCTCCTTAATCTCTTGTATAGCTTCTATAGTTTCCACAGCTTTTTTAGCTATCTCTTGTACAGCGTCATTAGTCATTTTCTCCAAGCGTTCAACTTTAACATCATCTTGAACAACATCAGGCTTTTCCGTTACACCGCCAATACTCTTGATGGCTATATCTGCAATCTGTTTAATACTTTCAACGGCTATTTTCTTAGCTTTAGCTTCCTCAGCTTCGTTCTTATTCTGCTGCAATTCCTTCTTTGTCTTCAATATTTCGTCTAGAATTTCCTTTTGTTCTTTAATTAATTCTTTCTGTTCTTCGCCGTGTTGTTTGATTGTTTCTATGAGTTGTTGTTGTTTCATTATATCTATTTTGTCTTCGTTTGATTGTGTTTTGACTTCCTTAGGTTTTGCTTCTCCGTTGCTTGCACCATTGGCTTGTTCTAGTTTATTTTTTAGATTCCTTGGATGTGTTTCTGATACTTTGTCTATAACTTCTTTTGGTTCCGGTAATGGTGGTGGTTTTTTCTCTTCTGTTTTTAAAATGTTCTTTGAATGTATAATTTTCTCGTTAGACTGAGATTCTGGTGGGACGGGGTTAGGTGGTTGAACTTCTGAATCTTTTCTTACGCCATTATCTATTGCTATATTGTTCTCAACTTCCTTTTGTAAATCATTTTGTGGTTGATTTAAATACATATCTGAAATAAATAAACAATTTAATTTTTTTTGAAATTTTACTATGATATGCAATAATGTGCACAGCGAATGGCCCTAATGCTTTTGGGAAAACGGGACTGTCACACACCTCTTCTTTTAACTCATTCTATAAAGTGGACTTTAATAAAAATACTTTCTAAAATCTGCCATACCCCCTACTCTCCCCTCTTTTTTCGTACTTCTTCCTAGAGTGATAAAAACGACATTTCAAGTATTAAAACACCGTACCTTGTTTAACCCTGCTCTCGAAGAAGTCCTCGACGATCTTGTCGATCTTCTCTTGCGTGTATTTGTCGTCATACCGCTCGATGCTTGTCTCAGCGGCTTGCAGGTTGGCGTAAGTACCCAGGACCATTATCACAAGACCTAGGACCAGGACGCCCTGGAATATTTATACATTATTATATAGGGTGACTGGTAGTTATCACTATAATATAATTACTGTCTCAACGCGGTCACGCGGGGCTGCTAGCAACTGATAGGGCGATGCAGGGCGGGCGCGCGAAATTAATTTATTATTACTTCTTCACACAAACCAACCATCTGAATGGCGGATTTATGATGTGTCAACCTATATACAGAGGTCGTTACTATGTACTGTCTTTATATGAAAAGGGAGAAGTCACAAATCCAGAAGCCAGAAAAGCATTAATAAAAAGCAAGCTTATTAACAGCTAATACTTTGTATTAGCTGTTAATATGTCTTAATGGTCTTAATTAATAATTAAAATAATTAATCTAATGGTCTTGCTCTACGCATCAGACATCTTTAAGTGTTAAACTCCTCCGAGGTTGTGGGGCAAGCGAACCCGTCCTGGAGCTGGAGAAAGAACGGGGTGGTTTTTAGCCAGTAAGAGTCTGACACTGCCTACTTCTCGATCTACACAGGGCAAGAAAAGTCATTTGATAGTCTCCTCAAAAGAAAAAATAGGCGTCGAAGCAGCAATCATTTTAAAATATTATATCTATACTAATAGTATAAAGAGGTAAAATTTGTAAGTTTAGATAGCTTGCTACAATGTTCCCGAGTACTATAGGCTACAAAACATCACGCTACGATCAAATGGAGCCCAGCAGCGGATGAAAACGCGCGAGAGTCGCTAGTTTTAAAATAAAACGAAAATACAAATTATTAAAGACTCACTCACCTTAGCCAAGACTCTTTCGTTAGTATTCTTAAAGGTGACATTGACAAAGCAGGCGGCGGGAAACACGACGCATATAAGGACGCCTATTGTGGACCCGACCAGGCCGAGGACCAACTCAATGTTCGGGATTAGCAGGCTGATGAAGAGAGCGACGCCTATAATGCCGACAGTGATGCACCGGAACGTGGCTTCGGGGATCGAGTGGTTGATTATGTGATCGTGGTGGGACGAGTGTACCTAGAGATGGAGAAAGATTTATTTATTTTATTGCCTGATGAGGTTTTTAGATTAGTAACAATAAGGCGAGGTAAAGGAACTTTGTTCGCTTTGTCACTTTCTACAGTATTTGTGTAGTGTGTACCCGGAATAATAAAAATCCATACTAGAAAATGAATCGACAAACATTCGGATTTGTGGATTTTGTTAATTCAATGGCAATTTTCTTAATTCCATGCGTTAGGAAAAGATTGTCGTAATTAAAATGAGCATAATTTGCATAGATGAGCAAAATATTAAATATTTTGAGTAGACTAAACAGTCAAGATGGGTATAGTTCAGCTATACTTCTATACTAATATTATAAAGAGGTAAAATTTTTAAGTTTGTATGTAGGGGGTAATCCTTGGAACCGCTGGTCGGATTTTTTAAATTCTTTTACTGATAGATAGCTACAATGTTGCTAAGTGCTATAGGCATAACACATCACGCTACGATCAAATGGAGCTGAGCAGCAGGTGAAACCGCGCGAGAGTAGCTAGTTATATATATTTATGAAGTACATATTAAGTATTGAATTTCTCAGAATTTTCATGACGGACGAAAAATGTATTAAATTGTAAATTATACGTAGATAGACTGAACAGTGGCGCGGTGGCTTAAAAACCGGCTGCAGAGTGCAGTGTCACGTGTTCGTTCCCAGACGGAACAACTCTTTGTGAGATCAACAAATTGTTGATTCAGGTTTGGGTGTCATGTGTATGTGAAATTGTATGTGGGTGTGTTTAAAACATTCGCGTGTGGGCTAACGTATATTAAAAAGAAAATAATAATAATAAGCAGTACCTATGTATCTAATATCATACAATATCAATGAATTACCTTTTTATATAAGAACGAGTAGAGACTGGCTCTGCAAGGGAAGATGATGAGCGGGAAACTGAACGCCAGCGACATGACGAACCCGAGCTTGATGACGTCACTCGCCATCGTCGGACTCAGGCTCATTAGGATGTTACCTACGACACACATATATACAAATTCATAAGCATATTATATTATTATCAACACATTTCTCAAAAAGAGGCTCTATCCGATTCAACCTGTGACTTTTTTATTGCTATAATTCACGAGTGAGTAATAGTTTATATGATTGGTTGGGTTACGCTTACACTGGCGCTAAAATAATATCTGCAAAAAGACCCAAAAAAATAAACCTATTTTTTAGTCTAACCCTAAAGGCGATATCTCATATTATACAATGTAGGTAACTACTTTTTCCAGTACACTTATGAGCACCAGCTAATAGGGGGTGAATGAGGTTACTGAGGTCAATCACCAATCACCAGTCCCCACTCTGCAAATTACAAACAACCCCCAAGAAGCCGTTGAAATAGTTATCACCCTCTGGTCTTGAAGGGTTGTATGGGTGTTGCTTCACGCTTTCCCTCATACGAGTATTATTATGTTAGGTAATTCGTACGTTCATTTACCGAACGTATCCCGTAAAAAAGTTATTGCTCATTAATCAAAAGTTATAATGAAACTTTCTTAACACCACAATTAAATCGCAACATTTTGTTCAATCGTCAATCCGAACTTTAGTTCGTATGTTTAACATTCCCGGACGCAATAACCACTCGACGGATGAGACAGTTAACAACAAAATATTACTTATATTATAGCATAACTAGCGACGCGCCCCGGCTTCGCACAGATGCAATGCAGATAATAAATGTGTGTGTATTGTATTTTAAAAACCGCATCAAAAACCGTTGCGTAGTTTTAAAGATTTAAGCATACATAGGTATATAGGGACAGGGAAAGCGACTTTGTTTCATACTAAGCAGTGAAGTGGTAAATGACTAAGAAACGAAGTACGTAATGCATGAGTTATCAATCAGGACATCTAGTACTTTATCTATATGATTAGGTATACCTACTACCTACTTGAAATTCTATCAATATTGAAAATCAAATCAAGATATGTTCAACGTAATTTCTTTTTAGGATATATAGTTCGTTCCATAATTAGAGACAACGATTAGACATTTCAAATGTTGCAAGTTTTTTCCATTTCATAAATAGTGAAGTCCCGCGACCGGTATTGACCGAAAGACCGAAATTAAATTCTGGACTTCGTGCATTTTAAAAGCTTTATTATTTTTAGCTACTTTCCCTGGTACCTTCCTGTGCCCATACTAACTCAGTCGGGTTAAAATCATAATGGTAAGGAGGCAAAAGTATATAGTGACCCCCCTTTTAGCAGCCATCAGTCCACGACGTATCATTCATAATTACTCTTCTCTTTCCGGGAAATCTCCAACAGCTCGGCTTTCAGCATAGGTTCCTCAAATATAATGTTTTTCTTTTAGCCAGTCTTGGATTTCGCATTTTTATTTTAAATTATTATTATTAATTCGACTAAACTATAAAAAACATCACCGCAACATTGTTTTATTTTGCTCAGGGTATTTTATAAAAAACAGTATCGGTATTTTATTGAAAGCATCGTACTCGGGCCTATCACTATGTTGAAAAATCTGGCCACATTATTTTGTAGTTTGACATTTGCTGTTGTCAAATTGTTGTCTCTAATATGGAACGAACTATAGTTTAAGTTATCTGTGTTATATTTCGCTAAAAATGTATACTAATTAAAATTTGTTTGTTTGTTTGTTTGAATTGAAAAGTCTCCGAAACTAAAAGATCGATTTGAAAAATTCTTTCACTGTTGAGAAGGTACACTATGGAACAACTTATGTAGACCTGACCCTTACCCTTACTGATCCAATTAAAGTATAGATAAATAAACAATTCAAGTGTAGGAGAGATTAGCTTCGGCACGAATGGGTCGACTCGACCGAAGTAATACCATCGCCTCACAGAAACCCGGCGTGAAACAACCACAGTGTTGTTTCACCGTGTGCGTGAGGTTACCGGAGGCCAAATCAATCATCACCCATCTCAAATCCAATCCTTAAATAACTGAAACCCTTTTCTCCAAAAGGCCGACATCGTTACTATCCTTTAGTGTTAGAATTAGGAAACCCGACATTTGCCATAAAAAAAAACTCACCAGATATGTCATGTGACGCAAAAGCCACATATCCGAAGACTCCCAGAGTAAAGTACACCGCGGTGCAGATGTTGATAGCATTCTTGGTGACTACGTTCATCTTCTCTAGCGACAAGCTGGGCAGGGATTCGAATATCTCGAAAAGTTGCCTGTAAAATCAAAATTTAAGACTTCGGTACCTTTTTTGAGGAAGGAAAATCATTGATTAACTCCTCCTACCATGTGTGGGAGGACGAGAGGAAGTGTCAGACTCTTCCTGAGTAAAAACACAACTCGTTACTTCTTCTGCTCCGGCCCGAGGCCAGCAAACCCAGCCTCTTAACTTTTCGAGAGATGATCTCCGGCCACCGTAAGTGCGGATCTGCGGTCGGCGAGTAAGGGTAGCTCGCCGCCCGACCAGAACCAGACCCGAGCGTACGGCGCGTAGCGTTCCGCGCGCTCCTCAAAGAGCCAATAGACCACCACAGACGGGGCTCTATAGGGCTGATGTTCAGCCGGGGTTGCGGGTTAAGGGCAATGAGTCACCGCGGCCTCGGCCCAGAGCAGGAGAAAGAACGGGGACGGGGTTTTGAGTCAGCAAGAGTCTGACATTCTCTTTCGCCTTACCCTGGGCGGGAGAAGACATTTCATGATTTTCCCCTGGCAAAAAAAGCCTCTACATTTTTACGAGAGTCCCACGCTTTTTTACTTCACGGTTGGCGTAGTGGTTGGGCAACTGGCTGCTATGTAACGTGTCGCAAGTTCGAATCCCGCACGGAACAAAACTTTGTGTGACCTACAAAATGTAAATGCACCCACGACACAGGAGAAAATCGTAAAGCAAAGTTCTTTAAAAAAAAAAGAAATCCTGGCGATGTTCACAGCTCGCATATGGCCGATATTATTTTTATATTTAGTTTGGAAAACCAGTATTAAATGACCGTTACATATTCAGGACGATCATACAAGGTGGGCTCATGATAAACTGGTATTGTAAAATGTTATCTTCTCCGTGTTCGCACGAAGTCCATAAAACTTTATTTTGAATATTTTATCGTCAAATGTACCTATTGTTATCATTCGATATCTAGTCATGTACAATTAATTTACAATGGAATTATCATAATCGAGAGTATTAATTAGTTTAGATTATATTTCATAACATACATGACATCATACAGACTACATGAGTACCTATCTAACCGGACATTTAAACAATAATAATAATTACTGATGTCCCATTTCAGTAAACAGTTCAGTAAAGTTGTTCAAAGGGCTTCTGCGAGTTGGCATCGGCCCCTTGTACGCCTTACAAAGGTCCGGGACCCGGTCACGTGAATGGAAACGAATACACAATATAATTAAATTAATATCTACCTTTTTTTAGGGGAAAAATATCAAATTACTTATCTCGCCCTTGATTAAAAAAGGTTATAATGATAAAATAGGTTTTAACCGGAGGCCCAATTCTTACCCTACCCCAATCCCTAATCCCTAAAAGGTCGGCAACGCACTCGCAACTCTTCCGTTGTTGTAAATGTCCATGGGTGGCGCCGATTGCTTACCATCAGGTTATTCGTTTGCCGTGCAATCACATAAAAATTAACATTAAGATGTTAATTTTATACTTACGTTTGACAGAAGAGTGCCATGGAGAAAATTGGCACGCATTGCAACAAGCCAGCCGGTCGCCACATCTCCACGCGTGATGCCCAGTCACTGGACATCATAACGAAACCAGCCTCAAATATTACCTGAAACATTTTAAACAAAGATTAATAAAAAGAAATATATGATGATCATCTACATTAATATTATGAACTTGAACAATTTGTATGAACGTGCTTATCTCCCGAACTGCTGGTTACAATTGCACCATAAAGGTGTAGGATAGTCAATTTTTCGAGGAAGGCAGGATTTATAGATGAAGGCTATAAAACGTCACGCTACGACCGATAGAAGTCGGGTGAAACCGCACGGCAGACGGCAATTGTTTTCGGAACTAAATTGTTACTAAGGAATAGTTTAAATAATCATCTAATATTCACATTTCCAAAATCTTTAAGCTATTAATAAGTTAAGTATGCACAAGTATGTATCTATGTATAGTGTGAATAGAGCTAATCTTCGGCACGAATGGGTCGATAAGACTGGAGTTATACTACGGCCTCGCAGAAAACCAGCGGGAAAAAACCAATAATATAATACGTTGTGGTTCGCCGTGTGAGTGAGGTTACTAGACGGCCAATCCTTCTTCCACTACCCCAATCCCTCCAAACCAATTCCCAAAAATCCAGCAATGCACTTGTAACTCATCTGATTTATTTTTTTATAGGACCACTCGTAGTTCAGCATGTTACTGGCTGGCTGTTTTTAGGCTAGTAATAGTTAGACTATTTACTTCTTAAAACGTTGAACGCCATGGGGGACAACATGTGGGCCACGCTAGCGGAGGATTTGCCCTCAACAGTAATCTGTCGGCAGCCAATGAATTAACCAGACATTTAAAAAAAACGTTGCCTAACATTAGTATTTTCTCCTGTGTCGTGGGTGCTTTTGCAAACATACAAATTCACATACACATCACACCCAGACCCAGAACAACAATTTGTGGATCACACAAGGAGTTGTTCCGTGCGGGAATCGAACCCGCGACACGTTGCACAGCAGCCAGTTGCCCAGCCACCGCGCCAACCGTGCAGTCAGTCAGACTAATACGAGGTTAGAGGCCTCAGATTAGACTAGCTAAGGCCCTCAGCCAGAGCAACAAAATTTACTTATAAACTAAATCCCCTGATATTGCGAGTGTCCATGACCCAAAATTGTTTACCATCAGGTGATCTTTCAGATCGTTTTTGCCCTATCAAAGAAAAAAAACAAAAATAGCAAAAAAAAATTTAAGTCAAAAAGTCAAAAAAAAGTCAAATGGGTACACTGCAAATTCATATCTAAATAATTCTGTTAACCCCTTCCGTATACTAAAAACATGTTTTGTAATACTGGATTGAAATATCAATCCGATATCGCATCGACTATCGACATAGGTAAGCACGGTATTGATTTCTATAAGCGTTAATAATGCATTAATAGTTAGAAGAAGCCGTAACTAAAATATGACGTAACTCAATGACAACTTAAAACTCTTGAAATAATGACGATTTTCCTATATCAAACAGTTACGCTAGTTTCCCTAACTAATTATAACAGCATGAATAACATTCCGGTACCTAATCAGTGAAATGGCAGATAAAGGAGCTAGTTTGTGCTAAACTAGTGCTTTTCACCGGGTTTGCCCGCGTGAGTTTCGGGCGAAATGTAGTTTGATTCAACTTCGTATTAAGATTTTAAAAATAGAAATCACATTTACTTATTATAAATAAATATGCTGTAGTTTTTAAGTAGTCAATTTCGATAGTTTAATTTAATTGACTTAATTTTTTTTTTTTACCTAAACAGCATATTTATTTTACATTTAAAAAAGTAGAGAGTAAGTAGAAAAATCAATGACAATGAAAGAAAATATAATTATATTTCAATAAATCTTTGTATAAGTACCTTATTATGAGCAAAACCGGTTTGGTTTAGGGATCCTCTATCTATCACTTGTGAATAGGTTAAAATAAAACATGTGCGACATATCTTTGTAGCTATATTATATAAGTTGCCTATACATTAGTTACGAAAAAAGACTGGTTGTTATCACCGTAAAATAGGCACTTCATCCATTTAATTAATTAAAATATTGATAACTGAAAATAGAATCACTCATTTAGTTACTGTATAAAACTAGATGTTTTTTCCTTTAAGTCTAATCTGTATATAATAGATTATTCCGTAACATACATATATAGGGTGAGTGGTAATTAGTTTTTATGGGATATGCTTACTATCATGCATGTAATCCGTATGCGAGTGGCATACGGATTACATGCATGATAGTAAGCAATTGATGGCGTCGACCATAGACACCCGCAACACTATAGAGTTCACAAGTGCGTAGACGGCCTTTTAGGGATAAGGTTTTAGGGTAATTAAGGATGGAAGGGATAGGGGTAGGGGGAGGAATTGAGTTTCCGGTAACCTTACTCACACGGTGAAATGCAACGCTATGGTTGTTTCAAGTCGGTTTTCTATGAGGCCAATTTTTAAACACGTGAATCTATCACACACAATCATAGTTATGAAAACAAACAATTTTAATTTTTTTCCGATCGGGCGATGATTTTATGTACAAATAGACGGCTGGCCAAGCGGTTCAGGGGCAAAGCTTCGCGGGTTCGATTCCCGCACGGAACAACACGTTGTCTTCTCTATAATATCCATATCCACAAATTGTTGTTCCGAGACTGGGCGTGATGTATGTTTGTAAACGGACCCACGACACAGGAGGAAACCCTAGTGTGGGGCAACGATTTAAAAAAAGTTTAACAATTGCCCATCCACTAACTATTGCTTCAACAGGGAAGTGTGGGAGAGCCATGCTTCGGCACGAATGGGTCGGCTCGACCGGAGTGATATCGCGGCCTCACAAAACCGGCGTGAAAGTTCATCTGTGTTTCGCCGTGTGAGTAAGGTCACCGCAAGCCCAATCCTTCTCCTCCCCATCCTCAATCCTCAAATCCCCCATCCTTCAATCCCTAATAACTACAAGAAGATGGCAATGCACTTGTAGTAACTTCTTTGGTATTACAAGTGTTCATGAGCTGATTGCTTGCCACCAGGTAATCCGTCTCCTTGTTTGCCGACCTATGACATACAAACTCGACTGCACGGTTAGTGCGATGGCTGGGCAACTGTGATATGTATGTGAAATTTAGTGTTTGTAAACGTACCGACGACACTGGAGAAAATACCAGTATGGGGAAACGTTTTATAAAAAAAAGGCTATCAGTGCAAGTCTTCATTTACTTACCTTCATAACAAGACAGAAGTAGAAAGCGATAGTGGCCGCGCTAACATTACTCAGACTGTCCACATTTCTTAGTAGCCCCAGTGGAAGAACACACACCAGTGACACAATCACCATTATTGATGTTCTGAAAGAGAAACAATTGATAATAAATATCATTCACAAAATTAAATACCTACAAATCTTCAGCCTATTTTTTTTATATGGAATGGTTCGGCAAACGAGACGACGGATTGCCTGATGGTAAGCAATCGGCGCCGCCCATGGACACCCGCAACACCAAAGGAATTACGAGTGCGTTGCCGGCCTTTTAGGGATAAGGGTTTCAGTTATTTAAGGATTGGGAAGGGATCGGGGAGGGGGTGATTGGGCCTCGGGTAACCTCACTCACACGGCAAAACACAACGCTGTGGTTGTTTCACGCCGGTTTCCTGTGAGGCCGTGGTATCACTCCGGTCGAGCCGACCCATTCGTGCCGAAGCATTGCTCTCCCACATTTAATGTATGCCTTTAAGTGGCCACTGCTGAGCAAAGGCTTTCTAACACAAATCAGACTTATCTAAGTTTGTTTGTTCATCCAAGCTTGATAAGGATACAGTTCATTTATAATATGCCAATTATTAATAATGTCCTGTTAAATTGACCCCCATTGGGTATGTTACCTAGTAAGTTTTTATGTTCATCCAAGCTTGACAAGGATATTAATTTATGATATGTTAAAAATCAATCATATCCTGTAAATTATTATCATTTGGAAATTTTTATACCAAATGTCAAATGATAATAATTTAACAGGATATTATTGATTTTTACCCTACTGAGGAAAATATCCCTAATCACATAGTTAATTATACCAAAATATTACTGCTACTATTTAAAAAAAAATACAAAAATGTCATAAATTGATTTGATGATATAACAAATTCTTTTTAAATAATTTTCTAATATTAAAAAATATTAGATATAGATATTAAAAAATAGTACATAAATATATTATGACATCACAAGTCTGTACACTATGCCATATTCAGGGCATAGTGGATAATATCTACATTGGCTCACACCATGTCATAATGTATTCCTAATACAATGATTGATGAATTTAGCTTGTAAAACAATAATGCAATGGTGCAAAGAGAACTCCTTTGTCACAAACTTATTATGTTAGACATACTGTTATTTTGCATTAATATACCTATTGATATTTTATTCAACACAGTTGTAAATAAACCTCCTTTATATGCAAAATAAACAACATGCAGAAATTGTTGTTAACCAATTTTGAACCTTAACATAAAGCATTTAAAAGCTAAAACTGTATACCAGCTTATGAAAATGTCATTAAATACAGAAAGAATATTACCTCAATATGTCACTTTGGTTTATGTTGAACATTTTTGCGATAATCTGTGGTCCTAGATCACCAACAACAACAAAGTAAGCTATACAGGTTCCCATGAGGAAACCAATGATTCCCACTTCCACTGCAATCTTTCCAGCTTGGCCAAATACATGGAATGCTAAAAATAATAAAAATATAATTAAGTAATTTGGAACAAGATTATGACATGACAGCATTTAAAATGATATCTTTGGTAAAGCCCCCATAACAAACAACATACCATGCAAAAGATATTCGCTGTTACTGTCACTTACAAGGCATTATCTGTGTGGTGCCTAAGTATTGTGTAGATGCATATTTCAAATAGTCTGTTTTTTCTTGTAAAGAGAATGATTGCATAAACTTTTTTTTTAATTTAAACACTATTGTTCATTAAATAAAGTTGTTTATTGCTTTACCATAATATGTTTTAAAAAAACAATCCCTTAATTTTATTAAAAATAATGGCTGATGCTATATGCTATATTCCAGGCATGTGAATGAGTTTCAAGTCACAACTAGACTCTTATTTATGTGAGTAAGCCATTATCTATAATCTATACTAATATTATAAAGAGGTAAAATATGTAAGTTTGTATGAAGGGGGTAATCTTTGGAACCGCTGGTCGGATTTCCAAAATTCTTTCAGTGATAGATAGCTACAATGTCCGAGTGCTAAAGGCTATAAAACATCACGCTACGATTAAATGGAGCCGAGCAGCGGGTGAAACCACGCGAGAGTAGCTAGTAATATTATAAAGCTGGAGGGTTTGTTTGTTTGTTTGAACGCGCTAATCTCCAGAACTACTAATTATTTTTAAGTGTGTTAGTCCATTTATTGAGGAAGGCTTTAGACTACAAAACATTACGCTTTCATTTGTACAAGCTGAGCGGCAAGTGAAACCGTGTGACAGAAGCTAGTTTTCAATAAATTTTGTATGTCTCACAATAGTCACTATTCAAAATCTCTCTTACCTAAAAATTCAAAATTTCTTCTTCTTGCAAGTAGAGCAGATTTCAATAGGAAATAACAGCATAATCTTGAGATCAGTCCCATAAACACTAAGATTGAGGTAGCTAACAACACACCACACTGAAAATAGAAACATATGTAGTTTGATATTAAAAAAAAGACTGCCAACATATGGTACTGGAAAGAATTTTACATACAAGAACAAAAGAAAATTACTGCCTTACTAGTTTCTGCCTGAAGTTTTGCTTTTGACTGTGTAAATTTCAGTCAATCAAGTTTTAATTGACAGGAGCATAAATAGTATTAATCTTAAATTCATGGTTATAAATACATGCAGACATATATAAATATTCCAAATTTCTTTACATACAAAGCAGACTATTTTTTTATTTTAAATAGTCAAGCCAAATAGTCTGCAATCAAAACTTGAATTTTGGAATCCCTAAACTTAAATACTAAGAAGACTATAACATAAAAAGTTTGTTTTACAATAAAGAATATTACTTGAAAAATGGGTGAGTTAAACAATATTGCACAGTTTTAAAATATTATGTTGTAATAATCAATTATTATGAAATATATGGTTCAAACACAAATTATTTTGACAAAGAATAAATAAGGCTGTATATTCGAGTACTAAGTATAAAAAGTTATGAGATCATAAGTTTTTTTTGTTATAACAGTTCTATTGTTTATAAAGATATCAAGGCAAGGCTAGCAAACACTACAATTTTAATAGATCTAGAATCTAGTTCTTATATAATTATTATTAGAATATTGTTAACACTTAAATTTGAAGCTCTTAAAAATATCTCTGAGAAAAATAATACTCACTTGTTGAAAGCAGAATGGCATAGCCAATATTCCGACACCGATAATGCTATTTGCTAACGTGATAGACTGCCCTGTGGTACCCATATTGTATATTACATTAAAATAATTTTGACTGCAAAAATCTTCTAATAAAATAGAATATTTAGGTCCACATATCGGCTCGCGTATTGTTTTGAACTACTTCGCCTGAGGGCTTGCAAAAGAATCCGTGTTTTGTCAATTTTGACGTTTTGTTTGTTGACGTGACCAACTGACGTTGACATTTTTTATTTGCCTATGCGGCTGCTACGTTTCGTTTCAATATTCATAAGGCGACAAACAATTCTAATCTATATTAATAGTATTTTTAACTGATAAAATTCAATGAATTTATGCACCTTTTATTTAAATGAGCCTGATCTGGTCTAATCATACATTGCTCGCTTGGCGACGCACGGCCCAATGGCTGCATTAGGTATGAATAACTAGGAGACTGAAATAGTTACCAAGTGTGATATGATAACATTGGTGGCGATAACATTTAACCTTAGTTACCTGTATGATACAATACTGTACTTTGCCTGACTTAATGAAAAAAAATGAACTACTTAAATAACTGAACAAGCATTCGGGCAATAATACAGGGCGTGAAGTTATATAAGTCAAATATTAACTTAATTAAAATAAAATAGACATTTACTTGCCCAGTGAAAATAATTTAGTTGCTGGACCCGACGACTCTGATCCTTACATCTCAGAATTGGAAATTATTATTACCTATATACCATACCTTACAGTGGGTTTTTTGCCATTACCAGCAAAATAATCCAATGAATGTAATATAGGTAACTGTTAGGTATGAGAATTCAATTTAGAACTCTCAGTAATATGATGTCAGACTGGCTTGGTATCTAAAATTGTGCTCCTCTCCTTTCGTAAGTCAGCTTGGCCCTATCCCTTAACAACCCCAAAAAGGCGGCAACTTACTAGTTATTGTGAAGGTATGCTTGGTCTTTGCTTGAGCGCAGCACCTTAGTCGTGGTCATGGTGTGGAGTTAGAGGAACTGTGAAGCCGACTCCACCTTCTTCAAAATAGTGATGCTCGGAAAGAAGGAGGCGCTGCACGTGAGAGAGCTATCCTCCCTAACCACCGAAGCGTCACTCCGGGCGTCGGGGATGGAGCGACGATCTCCGGCCGCCGTAAACCCGATTGCGGAAAGCGAGCAACCTGCCAGAACCAGTCCTGCGTACCGTAGCGTTTACACTCACCTCAAAGACCCAGAGACCATCACAGAGGGGGCCCACTAGGGTTGATGGTCAAAGCGCAATAAGTAACCACGGCCTCGGTCTGGAGCAGGAAAAGTAACGGAAGGAGAGGGTTCACTCAGTAATAGTCTGACACTCCATTTTGCCTTACCCTAGAAGAAGTGTTTAATGATTTTCACCTCACAAAAACACGAAAAGCCTCTGGTGTTGTGAGTGGCCATGGAAGTCGCTGATTGCTTACTATCAGGTGACCCGTGTAACCGTTTGCTGCCTTGCACCACAAAAAAACATGCAACTGGGTAAATGTGGGATTTAGGTGGCCCATACCAGTGTTTTGTGCAAATTAGTTTCAATTCTAAACATTTTGAGCAATAAAACAAACTGTAGATAGGTAATAGGTACACTCCTGAAGTGACTTATAAAAACAATAAGGGTGAATTTCGTAATGCAAATGCAAGTATTGCATCGAACTTATCGCTCACGTACTGCAAGGTAACAATATCGGAATAAAACACATAAACTCAGTTACAATACAATTTTAATGTTAGTTATTTCTTTCTCTATTATTATTCTTTGGTACTTTTGGCCAGTATCCGAATTCTGCTTTGTAAATATAAACTGTTACTTTTCGAATACTGCCCTAAGTTGCACACACACGTAAATATAGGTACAATTGTTGACTACTTTTAAATCTAGGTGGTGGGCAATTCTTTGGCTAACCCTCGACCCACACATTATTAAAATACGGGTAAAATATCTGGCCTTGTCAAAGAATAGCTGTCTTTATTACAAATTACTTTCAATTAGGGCGTTTATAGGAGGGACCGTTTTGCTGTTCACCAGATGGCGTTAATGTAGCTTAAGGTCCGTTTGTCCATTAGAGATCTAAGTTGCTAGTTTATTTTAGACAGCAACAGTGATTAGAGAAACAGATCCTCAGAGTAAAGAAAATTGGCACTCTAGTGACCAAAAGATCGGTAGTCCTCGTTCTAACTTATTCCTGTTTTCCACAAACATTGATAACTGGTTTCAGACAAGGACAAGATATTTAACCCATACAGTATTTTTAATATGTATACATACATTTTATTCTCTTAAGCTTAACGTTAAAATAACATAAATAAAACTATGCAAATGGCAGAATTCAGGGCAACTCAACTTAGTGGCACCTTTTTTATTTTTCATTATTAATTATTGAAATAATACAATTTATGAGTGCAAATGACAATACGTATATTTTATTTTAGTTTCAAGTATTTGAATGTGTTAAAAAACCGAATGAAAATGGCAACACAACCTAAAAACCAACATGAACTAAAAAAAACAAATTATTTTGTCAAAAATCTAACACTCATTAAAAAGTGCACATTCCTAAAACTACAAGAATAATAGATAAAGCAATCGAATTAGTTACATATATTTGGTTTTAGGGCATTATTTAAATTTAAAATGAAATATAAATTAATGCATTTAAATAAAAATATATGGCTTAATCCCACACCCAGAGACATTTAATGATTGCTTAAATTATTCCTCTGTTACGTTTATATTCTATAAACAATTATAAAGTAACGAACTTTTTAAAGACGCTCGATAAGTTTCAAGCTTTGTCTGGGCCCATAATTATGAGCTTTAACGTTTTGCGAAGTAAGCCGTACATTCTCAATAATGCACTATATCTCAGGATAACTACTAGTATTACAAAAATCCAATACAAACAGTTCTTAACAATATTCCTTTTCATTAAAATAAGAATAACAACAAATGGCACTGACACGAAAACATAATTTAACAATAATTTGGTTTAAAAACGGGTTTCTTTTGTTACGTTCATTAGTAGGTTTTTACACGATACGACCTTAGAACTACATAGTTGTCCATTAATAATTCTTTTGTTATCGATTACATAGAATTACGTTACAGATTCTAAAGTTTCATTGTGAATGTCTTTGTGTCTATAATACATAAACTGCTGAACTGATGAAGATAAACTTTAGGTAAAAAATAGACCAAGAAATGGACTAATATAGTATCTCACATGCAAGGTGAGACCTAATACATTTCCTTTCCTTTTACAGTATTCAAATATTTTACTGAACAATTTTAATACTTAACATTTATAGGAATGCGGTATTCATTATTCTACACGGAAAACTTTAGGTAGGTACATTTGTTACAGTTCGCTCTCGTACAGCTTTCAACATATTTATGATCATAATAACCCTGTCGCCATAGGCTGCGCAGGCGCAGCGGACCGTGACGTCACACGCGTCACGGATTTTACGCGTGCACTCAATGATCCGAACGAAGTAATTTTCTTTTGTTCACGTGCAAGCCTGGTATAGAAGAATACAAAGAAAATTATTCCTACCTACATATGACAGTGTAGCTTCCAGAGTCGAAGCTAGATGCTAGCGTGCGGCGTGACCACCACAGATGGAGCTGATGTCCAGCCCAATATATCTTTGGCTATTTTCAATACAACACATCAAAACAAAAATTTGCCTCATAAGACCTGGGAGCTTAATTTTGTTAACAATAAGGTCGAAATTCGTACCACCACCAACTAACAAACGCAACAAAGAATAACCGGTCACTTTGAGATAAAAACTTAATGAACACCAATAAAAATTAAAAACTAATTTAAATTACACATACAAATAAATAACGAATAATATGAGAATCCTAATTAATAAAGTTAAAAAAGCAATGCTTTAAATTTAAAATATTTAAAAACAAAAGTAATTCTTATTGAATTTATAAAGTGTGTAGGAACATGGTCTAATGACATCATAATATTTTCATCAATGAAATGTGCAGTGTGAAAAGTTTGCATTAAAAGCAACCCTATGCCTACACATTGTATAGTAAGTAACAATTTCCTTAACACCCTGAACTCAAACACTAACTTTATTCACAAATAATTAGTTCAATCATTCCTAAATTTAATGGCACACTCATTCTACACAGGAATGCTACATACAATAATAACTATATCTTAAAAATTAAAGATAAATAAAATAATATTTTTAAAATGCAGTACAATTATTTTCTTTGGGATAATCACTTTTTAAATGGCAAGTCACATTGGAGTAGCAAATATAAAATTTTAAATATGGCAGCATCGCAGCTGGTACTCTGATTTGAAACTAATATTAAATTCTTTAAGGAGTATAAAGTGTATTTCTTTCTTCACAATATAGACATAAAGGTTTTTTGTACTTGATAATATAATTATTAATTAAGGCACTTGCAAAATACAAGGCAAGCATTTAGAACAAAAATATATTTGCAATAATTTCACATGCAACATTTTTATTTAAAATTAGACATTATTTCATAACAGACTAAGACAGGTTGTTTTCTAACGATACACCTGAACAAACTCAGACTCTGAGTTTGTTCAGGTGTATCGTTATATCGTTGTCCTCTGAGTCTCAGAGGACACAGTGTCATGTTTGTAAATTCAATAAACTTTGTGTTTGTGCCATTTTACCGCCAAAAATTGACAGCTACACATAAACGTCAAATATGTATTTTTTTAAATTACGCAATGATAGGCCAATCAATCAGCCAGCTGCGGTACCGCCATTTATTGACAATTTTCCACACGTTTTATTGATAGTATCTTACCCCCTAACATTTTGTATAGGAATCTACCCATAGTAAGATACATTTATTATTACTTTTTCTCTAAATACCTAGTGTGTTTACTTGTTTAGTAATATGATATGAGATAAAACATTTTTTGTAAGTATTTAATATGTCGAATGGACGTATTAAAATTATGATTACATTAATTTAATTTAAGATAAAAGAATTGACATTAACGCCATATTGTCTCGAAGTAAAGCTTAAGAAGCACTTATTTAAATATTTTGATGGGCAGATTCCATTAAAATTGTATTATTGTGTACTTAGAAAATATTGTTTACCTTACTACAACATTAAGATTTTACTTAATTAATAAAAAAATGTATTAGTGATGTTTTATCATAAGGATTGTCACTCATTCAAGTCATTGCTAAATTAGTGATAGAACTTATTTGATTTATTAATAAATTGCTTAGTTGATGATATGGATGTTACAACCATTTTCAATAACTCGATCACCTTGTATCATTTGCGCGTTTAACTTATTTATTATGTAGTGTCTAAGTAAAATACAGTATGATTTCTAGTATGAAATCTATTATGATGGGTTTTTACTACTCACGTTTAAAAATGTGACGTCATATCTCTTATCAACATTAAATTAGAAGTTACGACGTCTAGTTCTATCCACGGCTATAACACATCAATAAGGATAAATTTACAAATATCCTTTAAGGAATAATAATTGTTTTATTACGTTTATAATACATACTTTGGAATTTGAATTTGACCTGTGCTTCGGTATGAATGGGTCGTCTCAACTTGAATGATTTCTTTTACAGAAACTTGGGGCGAAATAACGCTTGGCTTGGAGACCAGTAATGAGGTTAAAACTTCTTCTTAATATGAAGGATCAATGAACATAGATACTTCGCGGATGACACAAAAATAATTCGAGTTTCTAAACACACCATTCATCATGCTACTACATAGAATAACGGTCCACACTACTACAGTACTACATAAAAAGATATTGATCCAAAGACAAACATTTTTGGAGTGACAACCTTCTTTTGTTTATATACTTTGGTTTCTAATAGACTTCTACCTAGAATACCTAAGGTCAAACCTCAAGATCTAATTAGATGTAGGATATAGGTATTTTATTACATGCAAAGATAAATAGGTACAAAAATTACTTTAAGAAAATCTAGAAACCAAAGGTCATGAGATGTAAAATGTTATTTATAAATAGATGAGTGATACATAAATAGCGAGAAGTATAAATTATATTAATGATATCAACATACATCTGGTGCTAAACACTATAACAGATCTAATGCACCATTAGCGGGCAAACCCAAGCGGGGCGGGCAAACAAAGATGCACTTCTAGAAACTTTCTAGCAATTCTAAACCTTATTTTCTTAAATATAAGTCTTATTTCATGTTATACTGTTTGTGCGAATATAAATAAACGATGAACTGTTTTTTGAATGTTAATATTGACGTTCGTACTTTTATTACTTTAGGGACTGCTCAAAATGGAAGCGCTTTTGTTTTAAGAACACACGCAACGACACACGTGTTTATTTAAAGTTTAAAACGAAACATGCCGCGTAAAATTCACAGTATACATATCTTACTCACGACTGTGCGCAACAGTATACAAATATACAAAACTTTTTTTAAATGGATAACATCGTAGAGCTTATGTAGCCTACTTACATCATAAAATGAGTTCGTCACAAAAAAGGTTTAGTTACACACGTGTCGGTGAATACATTGTGTAAACACGTGTGCGACCTTTTTTGGATTTAAAACTTTTTTGTCGTAAGACGGACGGCCGCCTTTTGTTTCGCGCGGCATTATGACCCGCCCCGGGTGTAGTGCACGCTTACCTTTAAGTTTGAATGATCTGCATATTCTACTTATCTTTATCAGTAGTCAACAGCTCTAGAATATCATCAATAGACTTGCCTTCCTTCTTGAACTTCTCCATCTGGTCTTTGGGCACCGTCTTAATTAGCAACATCTCGATGTTCCTTCTCAAACGCTTCAGCGGTGGAAGCGTCTCGTCTTTGCAAGGAGATCGACCCATGCCCTCCAAGGACTCGATAAGTATCTCATCAACGAGTTTCTTGTTGAACCCTGTCAGAAAAACACATGTTACACATTTTCCGTGACACAAGAGCTTATTTACAAAGCTTAGGTAATAGATTAGAATCGAGCCCGGCCACCACCATTACCCCACCTAAAGCTAACGCCCGCAAATGCTTACATAAACAAACATCAACCTCCATTTCCCGATAACCTACATTTACCCTCCGTCACCGACCAACACCAAAAATTAACAACACAATGGAAAATGAACTCACTCACGAAATTATTACTCATAATGTTTACCACGTCGGAAACTCGTCAGTCGTCATACAACGACAAGTATGTTCTCTAGAATAAAAACCATGATGATATAAGCTATGCAATGGACAACGTGCCAACAAGTCTGCACTTCACATAAGCACACAAAACTCGGTACACAGCACACGATTTCGCAACCCAGTGAATACATACTATAGTGCTTCGTAATGTAATGTTTGTTCTGTCCGATCGCACTTGCATTTTCAATGACGGCGCATTTGTTATTACGACCTTGTTACTTCGATTAAATTCAATGACCTATGATGATGTGAACTGAATGGAAACGCGTTGATGTCTTATGTACCAGACAATATTATTAATAGAATCAACATTAGATTTTCAACGTTTTGCTAGTCTGAAAATGACTATGAGCTGTGCACGTATTTTCGATATGGGCTCCCGTTATGGCGGACACACTAAGCAATGTACTCCACACAAAATATAATAAAAACAGTGCCAATATTATGAGAATAGTGTAAACAAACTCGTATCAAAGAAAAGTTTACGCACCTAAGTATTTGAGTTTTTCTTTGGTTGCGATCATCGTGAGCAGAAGAGCCAACAGGAACCTCATACGAGACAGAGTCATCGACGATTCCACTTCTATCACTTCCTCGGCTTTCTTGGACTTTTTCTTTTTACCTTGCACAGAGTCAGCAGGAGTCTCTGCTGCATCTGCTGTAGCGGCTGTGCATGTCTTAGAGTGCACGTCCAACTGTGCTTTGAGCTTATAAAAAGTGTCACAATTAGAGCATTTATAAGGGTTCTCCTTACCATGTATTTTGCGCATGTGTGTTTTCATATGTGGTAGTTGTGAGAAGGACATTGGGCACATGGGGCAGGGGAATGGTTTCTCGCCTGTGTGACGCCTGATATGCAACATCAGAGCGTTCGAATGTGAAAAGAATCGTTTGCATATCCGGCATGGATACGGCCTCGCTCCCGTGTGCGCTCGCCGATGTACATTCAGTTGGGTGGACTGTGTAAAACGTTGTCCACACTCGGGACAAACATGGGGCCGTTTCTTCTCATGAGTACGCATGTGCTCAGTCAAATGACCTTTCAAATTCTTATTGCAGATCGGGCACACAATCCTGTGCCCGCCGTGGCACACCTCAACATGGCGCCTCAAAGAATTATGGAGCATAAATTCCTTCCCACAATACTGGCAAATGAAATCTTTGAGTTTCAAATGGCTCTTAACATGCATGTACAGGCGGTTGCGGCAGCGGAACGACATACTGCACAGCGTACACTCGTGGCGACCCTTCACCATGTGTTTCTTCTCATGCTGCATCAACATGATGTGGTAACCAAACACTTTGTTACAGTAAATACATTTAAATGAATTCTCAGCTTTTGTATGCGTGTCGAGATGTTTCTGCAAGTTTTCTTTCACTAGAAATGGCTTGTCACAATAGTTGCAGATAAATAACTCTGTGTCTCCTCCATTAGTTTTGTGGTACAGGTCAATGTGATCCTGCAGCTTATGGGGGTTCCAGAAGGCCTGGCGGCAAAGACGACAATTATAAGGTTTCATACCCAGATGAGTATACATGTGTCTACGCAAAGAACACTTTCTATTATATGTTCTGTGGCATATATCACACTCAAAGTTTAATAAGTTTAATATAACACCATTTTTCAATTTAACATGCTTGGGTTTTGGATTATATGAGTTTTGGTCATTAGCTTTTTTACCAGAATCAGGAGTTGTATCATTTGAAGAGTTAATGTCTGAAACTTCCTCGGATGTGACAGACATCTCTTCGGATATTTGATATTCATCATCAGATAAGTCATGAAGTGTTTTATTCTGGTCAGTTAATGCTATGTCATTGTTATTGTCTACACGCACTGGGGGAGGTGAGCTTGATGGAACCGGTTCAGCAGATATGTCTTTGTCTTTATCATTAATCATCAGTTCACCTTTCAATATACTATCAATCAATGTCATGTCACATTTAGATTTCTTTTTAAGACGGCCACTTTTTGACAATTGGGGTAGATCACTTTCAGGTACTGGTATGTCTTTTTTTGGTGGCTCAGTAACTTGACATTCATTTTGCTTTATGTTCTGTTTGACAGGTGCTGGAGGTTTAGTTAGTATAAATTTTTCCTTAAGTTTATGTCCGTGTTTCAATATAAATATAACTTTTTCATCTGGTGTCATGACCTTGCGAGAGCTCGGTCGTTTCATGACCACATCACTTTTATTTATTTGTATGTTATTATTTCTCACAGTGACAATAGTCTGTGGTTCATCACTAGCCTTCGCTGGCTCTGTGTTTACACTTTGAATATTATTTTTCTTCGACACCGATTTTTTCGGACCTGCCAACGATTTTTTTGGTTTACGACCTCTCTTCTTCTTTTTCGTAGATGCACTTTTGGGTGCTTTTAATCTACTCTTTACGTTAGCCATAGTATTGTCTTATTAGTAAGCTGTACTATATTACCGGTTACAGCATGAAGCGATAGAGACCCACCACCAATCAAGAGGAGTTAGTAATTAGACGTCTTTGCTTGCGCGGGTGAAGTTATTAAAGAGCGCGGTTCGGCTCACTGTACTTACATGCAGTGGAACATTATTAGCATTTCAATAATCACCTCTAACATTACGCGGCGTGTAGATAACAGATTGTTTGCACAACGATGCTCTACTAATGTGTGAAGGACGAGCCTTTTGTCTTTATTATAACAAGAACATCGCCCATTACCTTGTATCGAATATTACACACCAATCCATTGCATCGCGTTTGTTGCACGGCTCACTTTACTATTCACGTCATTACGTATTAGAATCTTAGTACATTATTAACATTTATATTCACAAAACACTGCAATGCTAGTAAATAAACGATACGAAATGATGAACAAAATTATAACTCGACTCTTGAGAATGATTAATTAAGTGTGCGAGTGAGACAACAGACGTAAGTTCTGTCAAACTTAATAAGATGTTAGCGGCATCTAGATTACAAAGAAGAAAGCAATCATAAAAACCAAATATGTTTTCTCGTTACATTCTTGAAAATAATTTAATTTAGTCTCCCTGTATTTACTAACGCAAAAGCAATTGTTTTTTTTGAAATAAATGTTTTCCGTCTACCTATTTTATAAAGTTTTCATGTGCACTTGTAGCGACATCTATTGATAAATTTAGAAAAACGTCAAACAAGAGTCTCGTAAGGCAGCGTACATACTAATAGCACTATGTACACATTGTATAAAAAATAAAAGTTATCTATACAACTGCGTTCGGCGCGCCCGGGCGGTAGCATTACTAAACAGAAATACAATTTTGTTTAGCACTGCGTCCAATCATGGACCAGATTATTTATAGACTACGACCGTGGTAATACGTACCTACGTGTCATTATTCAATCAAATAAGGAATGAGGATGATCATAGACCTTGGCATCATCGAAAATATTTCATTTACCGCCTTAACTGGGGGGTAATAAAGACGATTAAAAGTGATAAAAGCTAATTGGAATTACATGCTAGTTCTATTAAAATTCATTGCTTGCTCATTTACAATTACAATTGCCTCGGCGATATACATCAAACCAATGTTAGAATATATACCTACGCAGCTGGGTCTCAAGTCCCTAAAGGGCTTTATCAATACTTTTATAGTAGGCTCGTTTATAATAGATTTTAAATAGGTATGCATTCTCTGATTCTTATAAAATTTTGGTTCTTTTTTTCAGTTTCTATTAGGTAGTAAACTGTTTGAATTGTAGATTTAGGTATTACATCTCAAAGAAATATTTAGTGACATGTTATATTGTTATAATTGATTGTAAAATTAAAAGTTCATGTATTTTACAGATAATCTTCTTGAAACATTATGTACTTAACATGATTTTCAGTTTAGGTACCGAATTAAACCATCCAAACCTTCTTTTAAGATTTTCAAATGCGTTGATGTCTTTCCTAAACCAAAGTCGACTACAATTGTAAAGACATCAACGTTCTAATTGTTTAAAAACAATGCATCGGACTATACTTATATGTATAGCTATATATTACTATATCAAGGCGTAGATTTGTTCTAGGTTCGTTAAACCATGATCACAGCAAACTAAAATAGCTTAGTTAGCAGCTGCTCCTTCTGTGGGATTATCGTAGGAGTTGAAGGGTCTACTACACATTTGTCAGAAAAAGGACAGCAGCGTTCTGTGCTCTAGACCGGAGCGTAAAGGGGCTCAAAGAGCCACCAGACCATCAGAGACGAGGCCTCCAGCCAGGGTTGCGAGTCAAGCGCGAGATGAAACTAAAAGTTTAAAACAGCCAACGCCTCATCAGGGCTAATGAATTGAAAAAAAAAATGTTTTTGGTAAACTTGAATCTTAAAGTGAAGTTTCATACCTGGAAGAGATCATGGCAAACCTTTTTTCCACTACCGAATTGTCACAGTAGGTCAAGCCCATTGTAAGTCCATTTTTTTGTCTATGATTTTGTTGAGTTCAGTTAGAGCCAGATGGAGTTTTTATATTTATACCCAGGTAATGTAGGTACTTAATAAAGATAAAATTAAAAATACTACAGCCAGCCATGATGTATTTCCGATAAGATTACAATGTTTATATTAATTTAGATAAGCGATATGAATTCATTGCGTAATATTGCACAGTTTGCGCAGTGGCAATAAACAGCTGTCTAGATACAACAAAATTCAACAACTCTTTAGATACATATTCACTATTGGTTGTCCCGGGTCTGGTAATAGTGTTATGTGTAGCTAAGAGATTTTGTATGTTGTTCATTTTTTACCACACAGGTAAAAATCCTAGAGAAGTTCCGTTACAAAAATACAAGTAGGTAACTATTTATATTAAGAATTCAATTTAAACTTTCAACTTTCTTGATCTTTATCTTTAACAGTTTAAATTGTCATTACTTAGCGATATTCTCCGTGTCCACGTCAGTACCAGTCAGTATTATTGCAATTAACTCCATAGATTACGTGTGAAAATTCTGTAGTAGATAAATAGTGAAATCTACCGGCATTACCAGAAGGTTATTGAGACGTGCACCTAATAAGGCCGATTCAAAGTTAGTACCTAAGTATTCTTCTAAGTGCTTACCGTAACTTAAACTTTTTTTAACACTTTCGCCCTTATGTTTATTTTTCGTTTAACTAAGTGGTTTTTAGCTGTCATCTACATAATTTTATAGTAAGGTGTAGGTTAGTTCGTCCTCGCTGCCAGATGGTCTTGGCTTGGTCGTCGCCTAGGGTTGACGGCAGATAATGATATAAGATAAGGACTTTGAAATACACCTCTGTAAATAAAAATACGTGTAAGTACATAAATTTACATAATGTCACAGATAGTTGCGATTGTGTTCACCGTATTTTATTTGCGAAGTTTGATTTTTTTTTAATAAAGTATATCGATCACATATTAGACCTTTTTTATAAATAAAACTTTTTTTGTTTTAGTTTCTCGCCAAACCTTTATATGTACAAACGATGGAGAGAAATATAGGTAAGGGAACTTAGGATCCTTACCTTACCTCACCAAAGGGTGGTCGGTAAGCACCATAAGGATCTGCAAGCATGCAAATGATTCTTGAAGTTAGAGTGATTTATTAATGAAATTCAAATTTGGAAAATTGAGTTTTTCTACTCTAACTGAACTCAACCTTAACTGAATGTCAAGTCAAATTAGCACCGTAATATACCGCGCCCCCGGCTCAAAGCTGGATAAGTAACGGGGTGGTTTTAGACACCAAGAGTCTGACACTTCCTATCACACTCTCCCATCCAGGGCAGGACAGGATCATTTGATAATTCTCCTTGTCCAAAAAAAGGCATACCAGTAGAGAGATTTATTTATGGTAAAAAATCGGCAAACTAGCAGACGGATTACCTGATGGTAAGCAATCGGCGCCACCCATGGACACCCGCAACACCAAAGGAGTTACGAGTGCGTTGCCGGCCTTTTGGGGATAGGGGTTGCGGATATAAGGATCGGGAAGGGATAGGGGAAGGGGCGGGATTGGGCCTCCGGTAGCCTCACTCACACGGCGAAACACAACGCTATGGGTTGTTTCACGCCGATCACTCCGGTCGAGCCGAACCATTCATGCCGAAGCTTGGCTCTCCCACAATTAATTGATGAGATTTTTGTTTACATCTCGTCAGTATGAAAATACACGTTCCTTTACCTCCTGCTTGGTAAATAGCTTTGTCATATCAGCTAATCTATGTAATCGTCGCTACGTTGCGGTCGCGTCACTGACTCGTTTCCCCGGTTTCTCCATGGTAACCTAAATGTTCATATCAACGTAAAAAATTATAGCTAATGAGGGCTGACTATCTTTTATTGAAATCAATGACAAGATATGGTATTAGTTGCATTTTAATTTGTTTATCATGGATACCAATAATTAGGTAGGATAATTATATTATTTCTGTTCGATCTCGATATAAAGTTCTCATGGCCGTCAAGTTTCCTAAGATTTCTTATTATTATGGAGATTGATGTTTTCCAGGAACGTAGGTACATAGATTGCCTAATTGACTCCATGTCAATATCAAGTTTCTTACCTACTTATCTGTCTAGGTTTACTTCTGTATTAGGTTTTTTTGAGATAGATATTTCGTCAAACGAGCGGACGGATCTTCCGATGGAGAAGAAGTCACAAGTGCTAATATATAAATACCAATAATGGATTGGAGATTGAAGGGGAGAAGATTGAGATCTGTAACCTCACTCATAGCAGCGATTCGTGCGAAATAATGGCACTCGCACACTTTGAATTTATTAGTAATTTAGAATCATTTTTAAAATTGCTGAGGATTTTTTTTAACAACTTATAAAATGTGAACTTACCTACGTGCTTTTTTAGGTGTAGAGAGTGAAAAGTGAATATTACTAATGATTATTTGTCATTTAACAATTGATTAACTTCAACTAGAAGTTCAATGGCCACCGTATCATGACAAATACATTATGTAACATCGGGACATCATTGCGAGCAATGCATATAAAAGCGGTCACAATCCATGTAACGATCGTTTGAAGCAATCTGCTAGTTTACGTAATAATAATATTCCATTATAGATGTTTACATACACGGACGCGGCTTTTTTTTCAAAAATACGACAATGGAATGGACCTAGTTCATAGAAATTGTTGTACACGTGTCGGGCTGTGAGAAAAGCGTGTTGAAACCGGTTCTGTAGGACCATTGTTTTGGTTTCTTCTCGATATCATGACACCTTTGTCGAAGAAGTTGATAGAGATGAGAGATGTATCTACTGCTGTGTACGTACCTAAACAATATCCAGTTTTTTGGTTTCAATTGTAGGGGTTTGAGGGTGATATATGGGCTACTTACCTCGACTGTGGTGAAAATTTCTTGGTTTATCGTATCAATAACTAGTCCGTTTTTATACCCAAAAATACACCATCGCACACCGGTTTTCCCTCTATCTGAAAATCTTCTTGTAGGCTTGACATCTAACTTGGCGAGCATTCCTGCTAGGCTTATGTACCGCAGCCCCAGCTTTGACCAGAAAAAGGAACAGAGTGAATCTCAATTAGTAAAAAAAACATCCGACAGTTTACCTCAGAAATTTAATCAACTTTATTATCTTCTGCAGTTCTTCCTTTACAACGAAGTAAAAATAGATATAGCGTTAAACATAACGGCTAGCTTCGTAGCCCCATAAAGTCTATCGTACGGGCTAGCCGCGGCTTTCCCTATTGTTCAGTGACAATAGCGCAGTTTGCACCACTGCGGCTCCGAACCGACACGCTTGCACAATCTGCCAAACAATGACATTGTTGGGACCATGTGTTCGTCCCGACCAATCGGGAAGCGGCTAATTACAAAACTTTAGGTTTTATTAGAACAGGATATTGAGCAGACTTGAATGTTTTGAGCTTGGTGACACACTTTGTTGAACCAAAACGAATTTGTAGCTTATAAAAAAAAAATACGTAATAACCTATTGTATTGTATTCTTCATCATTTATTATAGTCATTAGATTAATCATCAGCAGATTTACTACTTACTTCTAATTCTAATAAAATTTGAGTCATCGAAAAAGATAGACAACGAAACTTTTGTAACCCCACACAACGAATCAGGCATTTGTTTCTTTTTTATGCCATAGGTCAGCAAAAGAGCAGACCTATTACCTGATGGTGAGCAATCAGTGCTGAGGGTCTACCATGACGTTTTAAAGCGTTAATCTTCCGGGGGCAAAAAGAGGGATGAAGCTATACACCTTTTATAGCTCCATCCCTCTTTCTCGCCTATGCCTACTGTTCATGGACACTCGTAGCAACAAAGGAGTTACTGTTCGTGCATTACCGGATCTCTCGTGGATTATTAGGGATATAAGGATAGAGGATTAGAATATTGAGGATGACGGAAGGATTAGGTCTTGGTAACCACACTCACACGACGAAACAACATAAGTGTTACTTCACGCCGGGTTTCTGTGAGGCCGAGGTATCATTCCGGTCGAGCTGCATGGTCCATACGTGCCTAAGCACGGGTCTCCCACACTTATCTGTCCTCGCTATTAGTTTTATAATATTCAAATTAATCAATAAATTGGTTGATGACTCCGCCGAGGTCAAGACCCGTAGTGAATGAGATTGGGAGACTCCGGATGCTCTCGTTAACAATACATGGAGCGATGCGGTTGAGCGAATGTCTTTGTATGCGTAGAGCGAATCACCTAGTTTCGTTGAATCACCAGCACATGCACCTACACCTATCTGTCAAATGGTATTTTCAACTTTATTTAAATGGGAACAAAATTGAAAATCTATCAAATATAATAGATAGATTGGAGTATGTTGTTCTGCTGGCGCCTGTATACTGTTCTTATGCAGCTGCATCCAAAGAATGAAGGGAACGTCCCTTTGTTTGTTGTCTTACAGTTGATTGACAAGGCCGCTCCTAAATCTTGATAACTTTGTCATTACTATGGAATGATTGGGACTAGCGTGGCGTGAAACTAAACGTTGGTGAAGGGGAGAGACGGAAAGAAAATTAAGGTTAATTTAAAGAAATAATTGTGAGTCAGGTAACGCGTAAGGCACGTACAGAAGGCATCCATTGCTTCTCCAGATTTACCCAGTTGCATACACATAACACTTTACCAAAAAAAGGCAGGGTAGGTACCTATGTATGAAATAACTACTCTCGAGTTCTAGACTAGGCGGAAGCGAGAGGGAGTGCCAAACTTTAACTAAAAACAACCCAGTTCCCTCTCTTGCCCAGGCCGGGACGTGATAGGTACCTAATTGCGCTTGACTTGCAACCACGGTTATACCTTCCTCAATTCGCTAGGTCTTCGGTTGTGAATACTTCTATTCAACATTTCATGTCGGAAGGATATGTAGGGAACGTTATATGGGGGCTAACCATGACGTTCAAAGATGAGAGAGATGAATAGAGCTATACCTACAAGTGGTCTAGCTCTGTCTCTTACCCACACTGAAGTAAGATTAACACAGTCTTACTTTAAATGTCATGGTTACCTCCATGGTCAGAAATACCTCCTCATTGGGTCTACGTTAGACTTTACGGAAAGACAAAACAGTCCCGTGTGTGCGCAACAAACTGAGTTCATTACAACGCCATCTAGGGAACCAAATCACAAACTACGATTACAACTTGACAAAGATTTAAAAAGCTTCAGCACAGATGATTTAAACATCACGGAGAAGACCAATTCCCAATCCCATCAGCTGGCAATAAAAGATGTTGCCGCCTCACGACTAGCTAAATTTTCATCACCATGCAGTCAAATAATGAACAAAGACAAACGCAGTAAATTATGTATTATTAGTGACAATAATGTAAATAGCTTATTAGATATTGCAAAAAGAACATTTCCGTCTAAACAAATATGTCATTATTGTATGCCAAATGCTAGTACAACACGATTACTCGAATCATTAGATAAAAAATTGGTGAATTACAGCTTAAGCGATGTTTGTATAATATTTGTAGGTGAAAGAGACTTCGAAGTCTCACATAGATATGAAGACATAGTAAACAGCATAAAGTTAAAACTTCAAACTATTAGTCATACCAATGTCATTTTATGTTCGCCAAATTTTAAATTAAAAAGGAATGTTACTTTATTTAATAAGAGAATAGAAACATTCAATCATCTATTGTACCTTAGTAATCGATCTAATGAATATACTTGTCTATTTGACACCAATATTTGTCTCAAGTACACACATGAAATGTTTTATAAGCACACGGGCAAAGTAAATGAAAATGGTATAAATAATATTTTCAAATACCTGAAAGAATACATAAATTCACAATTTGATATAACTGATGGTGACACTTGCTACAATGAAAGAACATATAAAATAAATTCATCTACCCTACCCCAAAAGAAAACAATGCAACAGAAAACAATTTTAGATTACTTTCATTCAAATACGAATAATAATATATTGACATTAGATAGTGTAAATAATTCTGGATCAATTAAAGATGACAGAAATAGGTTTTTTCGTTAATAACAGTGAATTCCGTAGGGTTAGCTATTCGCATTATACTATTTATCATCAAAACTTGTGTGGAATAACAAACAAGACAGATGAGTTGGAAATTTACGTCAATGAAAAAAAAATTAGCTACATTTGTATTAGTGAACACTTTCTAAACCAGAAAATGGCAACACAATTCAGTTTTCCAAATTATACTCTGAGTTCGTACAACACGCGGTCGAATAAAACCAGAGGAGGAACTTTAATTTTATCACATAATAGTAAACAAGTAGAAGATTTAGACATATGTAAAAAAATATATAAAATGAATAGCTTTGAGATAAGTGGAGTAAAAGACAAAGAAACTAATTCATACATTATTTGTTGCTACAGAACACCTGAAAATAAAAACTTTGACGACTTCCTAGAAAGGTTAGAATTGCTATTGCAACATTTTTTCAATAAATTATGTTTTATTTGCGGGGATTTTAATATAGATTTAATGAAAGATGACAATAAGAAAAAAACATTTATTTCGTTGTTGACATGTTATAATTTTAGATATTTATTTGATACAATGACATTTAAGCGAAATAATTCTGAAT